ATCGCTTCTAACCATGTGTATAACTTTGTCTAATCTTCTGTGCCAAAAAAAAAAAAAAAAACTTTGTCTAATCTTCACTAATTAAGTAAATATGATAATAGGGATAACCAATTCTTTAGAAACGGAGGTGAGTATTTTATAATCTAACGGTTTTTTAGGGCGTAGCACGACAACACAATACACATAGAACCTTCTTAAAATGTCATTGATTAGTAGTCAGTCAACTATATTAGGTGTAATTTTGCGGAAGATCGACTTATATACAAAATAATTCTAGAAAACTTCGCCTAGAGAGAAGTTATTACGCTTATATGAGGTTTAGGGGTTGACAAACTAGTTCAGCACACTTAATATGACCTTATTATTGCACTCACTACATCCTTAAATTTCGAATAGATGATTAAACTATAGTGGTTGTATCTAGTACGTAGTATGATATGTTGAATTGGTGATGGAACAAGTCTTAATCTTGAAAAGTATGACACCTCTCTTTACTCTTTTGCATGGAATTTGAAAGTCTAACTGGCTAATACAAGAGGGGGGTGAATTGTATTTGAGGTGAAATCTAAAAACTTTTGCGGAATTTAACTAAATGAAATAATGACGAGAGAAGATATAGGCTTTTCTAAATTTCCACTATGTAATCAGACTCTTTACAAGTGAAGATTCAAACCCGTTAACAAGTTCCACAAACTAGGAACTTGTTCCCAACTCTCACAGAAGCCTTCAGCAACGAAGCTTCCTTGACCTCACTTTACAAACTCACAATCCCAACCCCTAAGTACTTGAATACAATATGTGATTACAAATACCTATTGCACTCAAGAATATAAGAAGGATAATAACTCTCTTTATGTTATTAGAAGGCTACTGGAATTTTTATGCTCAAGAGTTATATCTTTCTGAGATAGTTTGCATGAGTATTTATAGAGAAGGCTTAGTCATTAACCTCCACTATAATCACGTCCACATGCCAACAACCCACTAACAACTTGTGGAGTTATCTTGACAGATGGTAATCATGAAGAGGTTTCCTAGCCTTATCTAATTAGTCCACTATCTTAAACAACTTGATAATCATTAGCCGTATAAAGATTTTCACACAGAAAAACCGCTTGCTATCCTTATCAAATATTTGTTTAAAAAGATTATCAAAAGTTTGTTTAAAAAGATTTTATTTGAAAAGATAAATTTATTATTTATTAAAACAACTAGATAATTATCTTCGATAATTATCTTTATTAAAACTTTTACAAATTATCTTTTCTTTAAGAAATTATCTTTTAAAACTAACTTTTATTCCAGTAGTCTTTTTAACATAAGTCATTGAGTTCCTTTCCGACTTTATAATATTGAGTGCTCACAATTAAAACTAGAACGTGAGATTTGCACGAGGCTTTTTAGAGAATGCTACTCCGCATCCAAGTTCCTACTCCGGAACGAACTTTGCTTGAATCCTTTATTCACCAAAGACTCAAAACATTCATTAGTCGAGTTTGTCAATTTGTCCATCAAAACCAAAAGGCTCAACAAATTCCCCCTTTTTGATGATGACAAACATTGACAAACTTAGGTAAATAAAATCATCCAGGCATGCAACAAAAATTTAAAGTAAGGCATGAAAACAAAAAAAAAACAATTAAAGAACTTAGAAAAATATTAAAAAGTTTTTTTTTTTTTTTTTTTTTTTTTTTTTTTTTTTTTTTTAAAAAAAAAAAAAACTGAGCAAAAGAAAAATTAACAAAGACTTTAAAAACTGAACTTAGCAAAAGTTTGTACCTTCGATGTGTGAGTTCCTTGGTAAACACTTTAGCCGCCATGAAGTTTGTCTTTTCCCCCTTTTGGCATTATCAAAAGATTGAAAAAAAACATTTTGCTATACTCCCACTAGACTACGTAGGGAATAGTGAGCTCAAATAATGCAAGGCAAAAATAAGTTAGGTACCAAATTATCAGCAAACACACACAATCATATGAAAAATACGAGCCAAGTTCCGATTTAGGAAATAGAAGAGGAACATAGAGAATGTAGCAAAGGATAAAGGCGTACAAACCAAAGTTCAGAGAGATTAAACAAAACCAAAATAAAATTGTTCAACATATGAAATTAGAATAAGTGCAATCAAGGATTTAAGAGGCTGCATTGGTAGGATCAAGGGTTGGATTTGTGGGATCAATAGAGTCTTCCTCGACTTCCTCAAAGGCTACTTTGTTGATAGTTTCCAAGATCTCCTTGTTGCCTTCACTAAACTTGCCTTCAGCCTGTGCAAGCTTTGCCTCCACGCCTGCAAATCCGGTTGCTTGAGATTCTGCCAGAGCCTGCACCTGGCCTTTAAGAGAAAGCAATTCCGAGGCCATTTCCTCCAGTTTCTTGCTCACCAGAGTAGTCAACTTCTCCATATCTGCTTTAACCTGTTGAAAATCATAAACAAACACACGAGTTCCAGAGAAAGCAGCAAAGCCAGTAGGCTGAAATGGAGGAGGAGAAGGTGAATGAGGAGGCTGCCTAGTAGATGAGACAGGAATAGAAGAGGGTTCAATGGCAAAGGGGACTTGGGTAGGTTTGAAGGTGGGATCAGATTTGTCTGAGGAGCTGATGGTTTCTACAGTCACAGGGTGTGTAGTAGAAAGGGCAGGCTTGACCACATTCCTCTTACTTCTTCTAAGGCCCCCTGTAAACACAGGAATGACAGGTGGTCCAGCTGTGCTCTCAGAGTCTGTGGTATGTTCCCCCTCACTTTGATCAGTTCCCTGCCCCTCATGTGAGTCAGATTTTCGAGCTTCCCCCTCAGAAACTTCCTTATGTTCCCCCTCAGAATCTTCCTGTTTTTCTCCTTGCACATCTCCCTCAAGTATTTTTTCTTTGTTTTTCTCTCCGTTAGAACTTTTTTCTTCTTCCTTATCTCCCTCAGAATCACTGGAGGTGGTAGCACCCTCACTAGCAACCTCACTACCCTGGTCACTGCCCTCCTCATCACTTGCGTCACATTCTTCCTCAGCTTCTTTCCCTTTCCCTTTCTTTTTCTCCCCTCCTTTCCGAGGCACAAAACATACTTTGCCATTTGTAAGCCTAAGACTCAGTCTAAGTAATGATTGTTCAGAGAGGATATTATCGGGTTCGAGATATGTTGGGGATTCACATTCAACATCAATACCAAAAGATTTGACCAACACAGTAAGGAAAGAGCCATATGGAATTGTGGTCTTTTGAGCATAAAAATTCAAGTGTTCAATCATTAGAGCAGGGAAATTAATCTGTATTTTGCATGCAAGACAGAATATGAGGGAGACATCCAAGAGTGATACGGTACTCCGTTTTTGTAAACGGGGTACTATACCCTTCCAGGTGAAGGTAAACAGTAGCTTATGAAGGGGTGTTAGGGCATGATGGTGAGTAGTTTTCACTTTCGGATTTCCTCCAATAAATTGAAGGATTTTGCATTCATCATTATGGCCAATATTTACAGATTGTTTGTGCTTTAAATAAGAACAATAGCCTTTAACAGGAACTTGAAATAGATTTCCAAGATAATTGGCATCAATCGAAATTGGAATATCATTAACTACGGCCGAGCACACACCATTATCACATTGAAAGGTATTTTTGAACTCATAAATAAGTTTAGGATAAACAGGGTAATGAGAACAATTCTGGAACAAGTGAGTCCATTTTTGATAATCAATTAAAGAAGTAAATTCAGTGAACTTACTCGCCACACACCAATCATAGTTGATGTGATATCCGAGAGTGTAATTCCATGATGGGAATTTGGTGGTTGCGCGCCGTTTCCTGTCGCCGCCCTTCACAACCTTAGCCTTCCTCTTTGGCTGAGCAGATGGATGCACCATCGCAATTGGCACCGGTTGTGGAGACCCCGTGTTTGAGGAGGGTTTGGATGGTGGTGATCGGGTTTTTGGGGTGGTGTTTCGGTTGGTTTTCATGGTGTTGAAGGTAAAATGAAGGGAAGGAGAAGATGAATAGTGTGAATAGGAAGGAGAGAGAGTGAGGCTGGTTATGGGAGTTTATGGGGAGTTTAATTGATTTGATAGGTGAAGGTGGAGTGAAAAGAAGAAGAAGAGTTTAATTGGGAGGAGTGAGAAAGAAAAATGACGGTTTAAAAGGTGAGGTAGTGGAGTAGTTTTAGAGGTAGTAGGATTTAATTTGGTGAAATAATTGCACTCATCTAATTCAATGTTGATAAAATAAAATCGTAAGTTAAGGAGTTGATATACATGCTTCTTATCTTACGTAACAAATAAAAGCAGAACTGAACAAAGGAAAATAAGGAGGAAAAAAAAAGATAAAAATATGAATAAAAGATAAGAATAAAAGATAAAAAAAAATAAGGAAGGCAAAAAAGATAATAATAGGAAGGAAAACAAATTAACAATATAAAAAAAAGGTAAGTGCAAATGGATTGTAAATTATGATGATAATTTACGTGATCATAATACAGAGAATAAAGAATGATGAAAAGGGAACTTGAAACAACATGGCTCAATATTTTTAACATATTAAAAGTATGTATAAGTGACTTTTCAATACTTCACAAATCTTTTCCCTGGGTAATTTCAGCTGTGTTATGCACACAAGATTGAGCATAGCATTGTTAGTTACATCCGATTTTACCTTAGGGGTTCCAAACAAAAATCACTTTAGCCGTAGCATCCCCAATTCCACACGCATCTTTTCAAACTTGTCTCTGCTTAAAGGCTTAGTTAATATATCAGCAATTTGACATTCAGTAGAAATAAAATCTAGCCTAATTAAGCCCTTTTTCAAGAAAGTCATAAACATATCAAAAGTTTCATCTTTACTATGTAAGAATATGACCCATGTAAATCTAGAATAATCATCCACAAGAACTAAGACATATATTTTTCCACTTCTACTTTGAATTCTAACGGGGCCACACAAATCCATATGAATGAGTTCCAATGGTTTTGTGGTGCTTACCATTTTCTTTGATTTAAATGATGATCGAACATGCTTTCCTTTGATGCAAGCTTCACAAATTTTGTCATTTAGGAATTTGATAGAAGGTAATCCGATTACCAAGTCCTTTGACCTTAATTTGTCAAGCAATGAAAGACTAACATGTCCAAAACGTCTATGCCATAGAAGTGGATCATCCTCAATAACACTTAAACAGGATAGATTGTATTTTGGAACTTTGTTAAGATCCACGGTATACGTGTTCCCTTTACGAGTTCCTTCCAAAACGATTTTTCCAGTGTTATTGTTGATGATTTTGCATTTTTCAGAAGAAAAGCTTACAGAGTTTCCTTTATCACAAAGCTGAGATATACTGAGTAGATTATGCTTCAAACCCTCGAAAAAATACATTGTCAATTGCATGGGAACTTGACCTTCCTACTTTGCCAACAGCAACAATGTTGCCTTTCTTATTGTCTCCAAAGGTCACTGTTCCCCCTGTATAGGCCGTCAGTGAGAGAAATCTGGATTCATCTCCTGTCATGTTCAGGTTCATTTTTTTTAGGGATGCTCCGACTATCGACTTTTCTCTCTTATCTTCATCATCCCCCGATGAGCTTGCTAAGCTTCGCGTTGCCCTCACTTCTTGGGGCTGTGTTCAGGTTAGCCACCCTCAAAACAACAATATACTACATCTGTTACAGGTTATGTGCAACGATTAGATATTTTTCCTCTCTAATTTATGTCAAATCTAATCGTTGCACATAACCTGTAACGGAGGTAGTATATTTTTTGTTTGTTTATTTTAAAAACATGATATATATACAATATGTATAATATAACATGATTCCAAGCTAATAATATGATATTGTATGGGTGTTATAGCTAGTGAACCATGGCATGCCAGTTTCATTGCTAGACGAGGTACGAGAAATGAGCAAGGAATTCTTCAAACTGCCATTAGAAGAAAAAGAAAAGTACTCATCCAAAGGAGATGACTTGGAAGGTTATGGAAACACGAATGCTGTTCAACGTGGAAGTCTCAATTGGAATGATAAGCTTCATCTCCAAGTTTATCCCGAGGAAAAACGCCAACTTCTATGTTGGCCAGAAAATCCTCAACATTTTAGGTTATTTAACTTTGACTATATACTCTCCTTAGTGATACTCTCCTTATGGTTGAGGCCTAGGAATATGTTATATACTCTATCACTCCCCCTCACATGAAAGGCCCTTTGGGCTTGAAATGTGGATGCAGCACAGACCCTCTCATACTTAGATCATTTAACTATATACTAAATAATTTTTTTTGTCAAATTAAAATTATGTAGGACAACCTTACATGAATATTCAAAGAAGAACCTAATGATACTTAGGACACTTCTAAAGGCTATGGCGCGTTCTCTAAACTTAGAAGAAGAGCGTTTTTTGGAGCTATGGGGGGATGAAAATGAAGATAATACTCATGCAAGATTCAACTTCTACCCTCGATGCCCGATGTCGGATCAAGTTGTTGGACTTAAACCTCATGGAGATGGAACCGCCATTACCATGCTCTTGCAAGACAAAGAGGTTGAAGGCCTTCAAGTCGTCAAAGACGATCGTTGGTTTCGTGTTCCTGTCATCCCTCATGCCCTCACCATCCTTGTTGGTGATCAGATGGAGGTAGGGTTAATAAACTAACTACATATACCTTCGTCCACAAATACTCTCGTCGTTCTTCATTGATTATTAAATTAACTTAATATTCACGATTTTCAAAATATTTATTTGGTTGACCTCATATTCACTTTTACTTTTTACAGATAGCGAGCAATGGTGTTTTTAAGAGTCCAACTCACAAGGCAGTGGTAAACCCACAATACGATCGAATGTCCTTAGCCATGCTATTCATCCCAAGCCTAGACAAAGAGATAGGCCCACTAGAAGAACTAATCAATGAAGAGAGGCCACAATTATACAAAAGGCTCAAGGATTATGGTCAAGTTTACACTCAATCCATTCCTTCTGGGAAAAGACCTATTGATATGATGAAGATTAATTAAGTTAGAATATTCTAAACAGTTTTGTGTTCATAGAGACACAAATTACTGAACGACTATCCTTTACCTCATCTATTTTTTCTTGAATTTGTAGTGAATCTGAATAATAAATAGAGTCTAAATTATGGTCATTTATCTTTAATAAATCGACATGTCTATTTATGTTATATTTAGGTCTCAATAATATTTCCTCAACAACCACACTTGATCATTGTTGCTAAATGTTAAGATTATACTGTGAAACTCCTCAATTAGAGTATTTCCTATTGATCAAAACATACAATATAGAATTATAAAAAGATTTCTTATATTAATTAATTATATACGTAAAATTATCTAAGATACACAAAGATATTCCCTAAAAAAAATGAACAAAAATATTATTTTATGTTACAAAAACATATCTTAGTAGTACGTATATTATTCTCCATCACACCCCTCAATCGATTTGGAGGAGGTCGGACGCTTAGAATGAATCTGAGAAAATTGACTTGATGTACAATACAATATGATCACTCACTTGTAGGTACTCTTACGGATGTTTCTAAGATCAGGAAAAAAACTCGGAACGTAAAATTGCACATCCATCCTTGAATTAACCCAACGAGTTATCGCTTTTTTGACGCATTTTTTTCTAGGATCATAAGTCATCAAATGACATGAATCTTCCAATTGAATTAAAAAAACAATCATCCCACTCTCATAATCTTCAACAAACTTTATGTTCAAATTAACAACGGATTCATTAATCTTGTCATCAAGCATATTCTCAATCGCATAAATTTTTCTCCACAAATCACTCGCTCCATACTCTTTCATCACCCACAACTCGAGCCTTGAACGATAATTTCCTATACCCGTTACCCCAACACCTAGTGATGATCCATGTAACACGCCGATACTAATTACTTTCTTATTATCTCCCCTACACGGTGAGAGGAGATGATAAAACTCTTCCTTGTCAATGTCAAAACACGCGATTTTCTCTCCTGTAGCAAACCAATATAAAACTCCATTCAACTCGAAAGGAGGATTATTTGTACCCCGTATTTTATGATCAAAGTGACCTTGATTTGTTGGTCTCCAATAACTTTTGCCACTACGATCACTACAAAGTGTTAGTACATCAATATGTGTTTTAGTACCATTAAATATGTGCAACAATCCAACAACCTTGTATTGCTTAGTTCTAGGGCTAAATCCTAAACCATATAAAGATGTAGTTTTGCTAGCCAAATAGGGATCTTCAAGATACATAAAATCGCGTGTCGCGGGGTTACATATGGCTAAAGAGCTAACAAAGTGTTCTAAGCCGGTATATTTACCCTTAATTACACGTTAATTACCCAAATGCTCGAATTTAGAAGACTCGAACATGTAATTAACGTGTTTGTTAGTACTCTTGTCGTAGCCTTCCATCATGAAGAATTGATTAGTATCATCACTAAGTAAGTTATGATCAAATTGAGGGTTTTTTCGGAGACTTACAAGGCTAAGGTGAGAGTTTTGGTAGTATAATTCGGCGAATTTCGGGTTTGTGGTTATGTTGTTGAATTCTTTGCAAACTGTTTTGCAACGTAAAAGGGTTTTGGCGGGGAGTTTCGCAAGTATCTCTTTTGGAAGATCATTGATTCTTTGGTTTTTCTTTCTTCGTAATTTTACTTCCATGGTAAAATTTTGAGAATTAGGAATAATATTTTGTTGCAATTTCTCATTCATTGTCTTAAACATTTTAGTGAGCTAAGGAAATATTCCTAAATCCTAAGTGTGTAAAACAGGATTCTAATTCCGACCCCAAAAACTATGTTATGCAAAATAAATACTCTTTCCATCCTTAAAAATAATAATAATAATAATAATAATAATAATAATAATAATAATAATAATAATAATAATAATAATAATAATAATAATAATAATAATAAAGCCTAAATACTCTTTCCATCAATAATATTCGTGTTTAATTTCTTTTTTATAGAATCTATAAAGTAGTTTAATTTGTTTAATAATAGTATATGATTGCAATTTTTTTTTTTGAAGTTTAATGGGCAATTAATCGAACATATACAAACTTTGACTATGAATTTTGATTAATTAATTAAATGATTAATATATCATCTTATGAAAGTACTTAATTCACTCCGACCTAATAACACATTGAGTAACAATTAAGAATAACTGATAGATATTATATAAAATGATAATATTTGTAACAAATTTAGGATATATTTGAATATATTTTGTATATTTATCAATGTTAGAGGACCAAGTCAACCAAAAACTTAAACTGATGATTGAGGCCCAAGAATATGTGTATACTCTATCAATCAATTTTATTCCAATTTAGAGAGTTTTCACAATCTAACAATAACCATGGTCAATACTTAAAAAAGTTGCGGATTGGTCAAACTTTATTAAAATATGCATATTCATCATTGTATTAAAGCATAATCACCAAATTACATGACAAATTCAATTAATTAATTTCCTCTCCTATAACATTATACTGATAAACTAATACAGACACCACCCCATCAATAGGCTTATCAGTCTCAACTGTAACAACATTATTTGACACATTAGTAACACCATGAACAGCCAAAACTCCTCCCTTACTATAAATAGAATACTGAAAATGAGCTATCCTGTCCGAAAATAGCAACATTTTCGAAAAATCAGCTTGCCATTTAGTCGTATTACTTCCCTTTATACTCAATTTACCAACAGTTGATTTTAATTTCATACCGATAACGTTGTTATGTTCAACAACAACTTGATCAATGTTGTTAAACTCTCCTTGTAATTCTACTATTGCCTTGTTTTTACTAGGGTCGCCACTAAACATGTTGTTTACGATGTTTAGTCCTGAAATTCGGCCTTGGACCGATTTCACCACCACGTTACCATCGCCTAGGAAGAACCCGTTCGTTACGTGGACTTGTACAGGGTCTTCCATAACAATAGAGTTGTAATCTAAGTAACAATTATCAATTCTTGTTTGTGATAATCCAGCTAACTTGACTAAAATACCTACACCGCCGAAATCTGTAGCCTTGTTGTACAAATGAGCGCCCGTGATCATGTTGGCTTGGCCTCGGAGAATGATTCCAACAGCTGCCGAGAATACTACCACGTTTGTGATGGCATTGTCGTTGCTGCCAACGTCGATGGCGGTGCCTGTTGTGAGTATTGAAAGGAGTCTCTACTCAATTAGGGATCGCTGACACTCATATTATACTAACTCTGTTAATTTTTAGTTGTAATAAAGAGATACTGCCTCCGTTAATAGTAATCTGCAACTTTAGAATATTATTGAAGTTGCAGATAACTATTAACGGAGGTAGTATTATTTATGAGACATAAAAAATTATTTTGTTGCAACTAAAAATTAACCGAGGTACAAAACTGTAATTGTTACATAATCAACCTTAGGGTTACAGTATTACCTGTGAATTGCCTCTCCCCTGGATCGCCGCCTACGGTTTCATGTTGTCCTAGGAAAGTGTCCGAAATGAAGGTTTCATGGCCTCCTTGGACTAGAATACCTTGGGTTGAGAAGTGGAGGAAGTAGCAATTTGTGACTCGTATTCGAGCTGAGTCGACGATGGTTAGACCGCCACCACGGAAGCTCGAGTCAAAGAGTATGTCACGGAAGGTGATGTCTACGTATTGAATACCACTGATTTGGTTTTGGGTGTTAGTGGTGGAGTTTATATGGAGGTGTTTGGAAGGCTTAGAAGAAAGTTCAAATAAATGGCGGTCTCCTGGAAATGTATTAGATGCTCTTATTGTTCCTCCTCGTACCTAGTATTATTGACACAAAATCGTAACATCAATGTTATGTACACCGAATTTAATCTTATATCTTAAATAATGTAGAATGACAAAATTTTAACTAACTACGTACGAGTACATTATTTAGCCATCACGGGATAACAATTTAATGATGTGCTTTGAATTGAATTGATTCATTTGTTATTAAAGAAATTTTCATGTATGTCTTTATATTTAAGAGAAATTTAAGTTATTTTCAATATATTGAGTACGTTTGATCTTTGAGTGATTTGAGGTTATTGAAAGAGTTAATTATATATACATATAAATATAATGAAAGGAGTATGAAAATAGAGAAGAACACCAACTTGCCATCATGAATTGTAAGGAAAGAAATTACAAAAAAATTATGCCTATTTGATTAAGCAACTATGAGCTAATTGAAAATTATAATTAGTGTAAAATTATTCCAAAATGATATCCTGATTAAGCAAAGTATTAATCAAAGCATGAGCTACTCTTTTTAAAATTTACCATTTACCTTTTATACTCCATAATTTTACATGTATAGAACACAATATTGAAATTTTTTGATGAGTAATTAATTTATATGGAGTATTAAAGAATGGAAGAAGGATGTTGATTTAAAGTAACGTACAACAAATTAACAAGTGCAATACATCTACCATTTGAGTTCTTTCAAAAAAAAAAAAAAAAAAAACCATCTAAGTAATTTAACCTTTTCACATCACCTAAAGATAGGAGAAGTTTGGGAATTCATGTAAATTAAATCGCATAAGATTTGTGAATATTGCGATTCACCTTTCAGATGAATATAAGATATTATGGGCAAGAGCTAGATGCAACATGTACATTACATGTACTAGATACTCTTATTTTGAGATAATTTAACTTGTCATTCGTAAATAATATGTTCATTCGTAATTACTTCCTCCGTTCTTTTTTACTTGACCCGTTTTGACTTTTACACTACTCATCACCCTTCCTTTGACCGTCTTTTGTAAATAATATGCAATGAAAAATATATTTATGTAAGATATTTTTGAATTCCTCTCAATTATAAGTACTATCTAATATGTAAATTTTAAAATTTTTACTTATAGAGAATTAAAGTTATTGATCGTTAAAGTTTTGCATTGGCAAGCTCGATAAAATAAACATGTCAAGTAAACAAGAACAGAGGAATTATGTATTCACAAGTTAGATTAGATAATATAAGGTAAATGGGGTGATAAAAATAGATCAAAACATTTTAACCAAACTTTGCAAGATTAACTATTTGAATATACATGGGTGGTAAAGGAAAATTTGCTATATCTAGGAGCCTAGGATTGTGACTATATGTGAGTATTGATTGTTGTAATATCCTTATTGTGAACACAATTATATTTTTACTTATTTTAGATATTATGAAATACAGAGTAATTGCAATTTTTATCAAGTTGTTTATAAAAAGGTGACTAGTCTAAAACTAATTATTAAAGGAGGCTTTTGGATTAAGGAAGGGAATTTGATAGCACCAGTACATAAGTGTTTTCTTGTGCAAATGTTTAATTTGTATGTGTCAGCCAATTAATTTTTACTCTTTCCTAAATATAAAGCTAGCCGTTAGAATGTGGCATCATTATCTTGTGTGATTATGAGAAATAGTATGCACAAGAGCATTTTCCAAGAAACTGATCATTATTTTATGAATTAGGCTGAAAATATTGTTAAAATCAGCGTTGTGTTTCATCTTAGACATGTTTATGACCTAGGGCATGTTCACATTTACTGAATTGAGCTGAATTAAACTGTAATGAATATTTTATGAGAGAATGAAATTAGGAGCTGAACTGAAATTAAGTAAATGTGAACAGACCCTTAGTGGTGCCAAACACAATTTATATTAAGGTGATAAAGTGATCTTTCGGTTTAGTTTTATACAAATACTAGATAGTCATAGTCTTGTATATATTGAAATAGATTAACATGATTTGATATAGATCAACATTACCTAAAACAATTACATCATTTAGACTTTTATGTTTTTCATTCATTTAACCAGATCATCTTTTGTGATTTACACGTAAAGAAAAGTACAGTCATATAAAATCTTCTTCATTCAAATTATTAAGAACGGGACGTTGCAGATTCCATTATAAATGGATGTATAAGCAAGAAAGAGTGGGAGAAAGTGAATTACCACAACATTGCCAGAAAGAGGAGGAAAAGGAATGGGTTGGTTGATAACATAATTCCCACCTTGGAAATCAATAACAACACCACCCAAATCATTAACATTAGGTAACAAACGAAGACCCTTTTGAACTTGGAATGCATCCGATACTGCTTTAAGTATAGCATCACTACTGTCTTCTATTCCACTTGGGTCCGCACCATACCCTTGTGGGTAGAACACTCTTTCTTCCTACCATCACAAAATTTCCGAGTTTATTAACGAGATAAATAAAAATACAAATTAAGTTGCAACTTTGTAATAAATAAACTAGTGAGTAGCCCGGGCGTTGCCCCGGGTTACTATTTTTATAGTTGTACAATTGCTAATTTTTAGAGCATCTAATAGTGTGTATGTAGTATGTGTCTTCAATTTCTTTATAGTATAATATTATTTATTGCGCAATGTTAAAGCATAATTGACAATTAGTCTAGATGGATGAATAATAACCTTTATTTAAAGAGGTCAAGTGTTCGAACTTTCTCATCCATATATTTTTTAATATAGTTGTGACAACATGGAGTATTGTTGGTTGTGTGGATGACGTGGCATATTAAGGTGTTGAGTGATGACTTGGCATAATAAGAAATTGAGTAAGTGACATGGCGAAATGAGGGAGTCTACGTGACACCTGGACGTTTTTAGTAACGCCTTTTAATATATTAGTATAGAATAACAATTTTTAATTAAATTTAGATGGGCCCATCTAGAGGTGATAAAAAATCGGGCCAGACCGAGCCTTAACACAATTTCTCGTGCCCAAACCCGTAAAAAAGTAGTGGGCTTATCGGGCAAAAACGAGCTTTTTTGGGCTTTTCAGGCCGGGTTCAGGCTTTTAAACTAAAAATGCATTTTTATGCTTATCCAAACCCCGCCCTATTTTCGGGCCGGATTAAGCCGGGCTAGCGAGTCGGATCAATGTTGATCACCTCTAGGCCCATCCTAGGCTGTCTGATGGACCTACCCTTTCCTCTAAGTGTTCATCCTAAGTTCGAATGTAAACATTACACTTGTATTATGAAAAAAGTATCTATCACATGTTTTGTAATGTGAGCTTTCTTTATGTAACTTCTTTATGCGAGATGTGTGGATTATACCATTTATAATACAGAGTAGAAGAGCATTGTGCCAATTGTCCTACATTTTACAATCTTCTATAGAAGACCAGTCTTATTAATATTATATATTAAATTGGTCAACTTAGTTCGGATTAGCATATCAATGATCTTTTCATGAAATGTAGTTTCATACATTATTCATAGGCAACACACCGAGTATAACAATGCATCATATTAAGTTGATGAGATACTAATTTTTTTTAAAATCAATTAATTGATTTATTAATTATCATAATTGATTACTTACCAAATATAAAGATATCTGAAGGATTCTATAATAATCTTTGTACTCAATGTGATTTTTACACTCTAATGGGATTTATGATATTATACACCTAATACAAGTACTTGAACAAAGATTCGTCTAGTCCAAACATTCGACACTTGTGACTTATTTCATATTATGCGTCACTTAGAATTTTAATGCACTATTATATGTCATTTAAAGTACTCCAAATCAAAGCGAAATTAATTTTCAAAAAAATTTAAATTCAATTCAATTTCTAACAACTTAAATTTGAGCTTAATATTACAGGATTTTAAAAATTCAAATATTCAAACAACTGTAAACTACTGTATATGTTACTTTGTTAAAATAGTCTTAAATTATGATGTAAAAAAATTTAAAAAAAAAAAAACAAAAAAAAAATCATAATAGATGATCTTGAAAAACATTAAACAGACTATTATTTTTATTTTTATTCCTTTTCTCTTTTATTGATTAAACCACATGGAATAAGTTACAAGCATTTCATAAAATCTAAATGTTTTGCCTGTCTCATCACGAAGAAAAAAAATAATAAAATAGAAACATTATTTAGAGACAGAGGTTGGAAAATGGTACATTATAAAGCGAGAAAAACAAATTAAACTTACTGTTTTATTAATCGATTGTAATCTACGCCTCGGAGATAACTTCTCTTGAATCTTCTTGTAAATCGCAACATGTTTAATATCATAACGATCAAAAGAAAACGTGGCATTTAAATTATTTTGTAGAACGAAGAGTAACAAGAAGCTACAAACCAAAGAAATTCTCATAACAATGTTCAAATTTTTGAAGGCTTTATACAAGAGGGAATATTTAGATGAAGAAGAAGAGGGTGCGAGAAATTTTGGTTTGTTTGATAATTTGGAGCTTTTATAGCTTAACATATTATCAAATTGATTTCAGAGTAATTATTACTCAAATATATATTTATATGTGAATAAATAAATAAATGGGGGGTTGGTAAGAAGTTATTATTATGACATTTAGTAACCTATAGACTACTTTTTTATTATTGCGCACAAATCTTGGAACTTTAATAAAAAGCAAGTATCAACCAAGCTACTTAAAATGGTAATCTATCTCACAATGATATTTATTTTTATAAGGATGATTTTAACCATTTTATAAAATTAGCTTTGATTTTGTAATTTAAAAAAAGGTGATGAAATCAGGGTCGTCTTAAACATTTTTGAGACCCGGTTATAATCTAAAAAAATAAAGCCTTTACATGAAAAAATAATAATAATAATAATAATACAATTATATTAATGCAATTATATTTGACTTTTTATATTCTAGTTAATTTTATTTTCTTGTGAGGGAATAATTTTTTTTGAAGGGAATAATTCATACTCCGTAAATTTCTAATTCTCAAATGTGTAATTTTAAAAAAAAAATTAAAAAATCGGTTGTTGTAAATGGAAGACTGTTCGTTTTTGTGCTTGGAAATTGAGATAAAATAAAATAAAATAATTTTATCCTTCATAACAATTAAACATTTAATCCCTTTCCTCAAAAAAATAAATAAATAAATAAATTAATCCCAATATAAAAATTAAAAAAAAAAAAAGCTTAAAGTTCTAGCTTAAATTGTAAAACAACTACTGAAACTCTATAAAAATGAAAAAACAGAGCAAACAAAAAAATATTACGCATACAATTACTCGATTTAGCAATGCAAGAGTTTAGTAATCTTAATCTTTTACCTCTCAAGATCAAATTGTTGATTGATATTATTATTTCGGTAGAAATGTAGAGATTTGATGGAAATATGTTAGGCGCTAATAATTTTATCAGTGATTAATTTGGGGAGAAAATTATTTATTTTTCTGGTAAGAACTATTTTACTCCATAACATTTGAGAAACTAAAGGGTGTAATGGTTTATGGAAATTTTGGGTTATAACAAGAATATCAACGCAAAATTAGTACGGAGTAATAAATGACATATATAAGTAACGCATTAATGATGGTATTTAAGAATTTTTTAAAAAAATTAGCACTCATGCGTCATGCATGAGAATAATAGGAAAGGAAGTTAGAGTCTTAGAGAAATTGGATTTTTTTTTTTTATAATTGGGCTCCAAAAATGTTGGGCCATCGATACTATTGGGCCTATACTAAGGGTCTGTACGGGCCTGGTATCAAATCAAGCTTTATTTTTTTTATTTGTTAGGAAAAATAATTTGTTTATTATAAAAATGCACATGATACGACATTTACAAAAGAAATTGAATTTTAAAAAATACATAACCAATTGAACACAGTATCTTTCCTCAAAAGAATGATCATTTGGGATTTCTTTTACTATGGGATATCTTTAAAAAGATAGTCTAGCAATTTGTTATAGTCGTGACTCGTGAGGATAGATATGTTAAGTCATTAAAATTGTATTTTTGATAAACTTTTAAAATAAGATCCATTTATAATTTAGCATTATGAATAAAAATTTTATCTAAAAATTCAATAAACAAAAAACTAGTTCAAACATAATTCCTAACCAAAAATCAAATCAAAGGAAATTTTTCTTTAACAAAGATGATCGTGTACAAAGGCATACTTAAGCAAAATTAAAAATCTAATAAAAGTAATAAAAAATAAAGAAAACAAGTAAGCTAATAAGTTGTTCTTGAATTTATCGATTTTGGCTCGGTCAACGCTTGGTCAAATCTTGGCTCAGTAAATTTTGAAGGGCTTGCCCGATTAGCAACGGATAAGTACTTTCACTATTATTCAAATATAATTCCTAAACAAAATTAGATCAATTTTTTTTTTTTTTTCCTCAAGCAAGACAATCTAGTAAAGTATGTAACAAAGCCAAAATTATTCACAATTCACCTCTTCATGAAGAAAGAAACCACCATCTTAGGCTGCAATCGGGGCGGTCCAAGGAACAGAACAAAAGAAACACAGTTGATGAGTGTAAGCATGTCGAAAAATCGAAAGAGTAACAACATCAGCAATTGTTAATTCATGATCTTTACAGAAATTGCACCATTGATAACCACTAAGAGCAGGTAAATTGTACTTTTTCCACTTTTTATAATACATTTCATACCCTCTTCCTTGACTGTCATAAACTGTAACCTTAATCTTACCAAGTTTTGCATAAATCAGTTCTTCTTCCTTCGAGAAAAACGACTCGAAATTCGACTTAGTCTTTTCTTTGTTTAGATACAAGCATTCAAGATCACTGTTTAAGTCTCTTTCTGTAAGATCTTTTTTCACTGATCCACCTTGTTGTCCTACTATGTCTTGCAGACTTTCCACCATTGAAGATGCAGGAAGATGGTGCTCTTGTTTTTTCTCTCGTTGTCGATTTTGTTGATGATGATTTGGAGGACGAAGAAACCGGTTTTGTCGAGATGGGATTTGATGATCAGGGATGGATATTGGTGGGTGAGGTCTTGGAGTATGGTGTGCAACGGTGGATCTTTTCATTGATTCGAGTTGGAAGGCGGTCTCGGGGTCGAGTTTTGTGTGCTTGAGAGATAGAAGAATCAATGCAGCATCAGTAATTTCTTTGAGTTCGTCTGTGTTTTTGGAAGTGGAGGCTGCGTTTTGATCCATTGTTGTTGGTGAAAACAGGGGATTTTTTTTAGGGAAGTGTATTTATAACAGAAAAAACGGTATTGTAAATTATGGAGAGAAAAATTCATCGAAATTATTTAGAAAGAAACTAACGTGGAATTATATCAATTTATAGTACTTTTGAAACCTTGAAAAAATCCAAGTAAAAAGATCTTGCATAATACTTTTTTTTATAATGCTAAAAAGAAGAATTATTTTTGTTTTCAAAAGAGGAAAAAAAACTTCCCCTTTTTTGTTTCTAGGATGAAAATTGGGAAACCTTACCATTTACATAGGTGATATCAGTATTCATACGTGTCCGTTATACGTGTTAGATACGAGACATGCCTATTTCTAAGACATAACATTACTTATGTCTAGGCTAGCTCGAGTCCTAGAGATTGATTCATACTGTATGGGTTTCAGATTCAAGGAATTTTAGGGTCAAAATTGAATGAGAAGATAGGACATATTGTCACATTAGTATAGAGTAGAAAAATAACAAGAAATGTCACCTTCTGAATATATTTTGATGATCATGTATCAATCTTATAAAGTGTGTTAAAAATAGACAAATTCATCAAACTCTGGCGATTTCAACAGATGTTTTGAGAGCTGCAAGAAGGCTCTTCATGATTCTGGGCTCACCAAGCGGCACCTTGTTTTTGAGGGCACCTTTTCTAGTAGCTCTGAAAGTTAAAGGGCCAGAGTCATTGCTTCCTTTAATTATTTGACAATCAATGTACACTCGAACCTGTGTCTTCCCATCATCGATTTCTACAAAGCCTAGCCTTACCCCTCCTTCAATCTTGTCAACCTGTTATAAACATATCATATTAAACAAGTTTTTGACAAGAAATTTGAAGAACTATAGCTCCTATATCCTTCCCTCTGCCAAGTTATTACACGCTACATGATGAATGCTTGCACGTGTTTCATGAATGTTTGTGGCTAGTGCATATATCTCACACTCATAGCAGGTAAATGGCAAATATTTCACCTTCTGTGAAAATAATGCTTTATGGCCTTAAGTTGTTCATTTGCTTCAACTAACGCCAAGATGGCTAATAAAGAGAAGTTTTCGTTTATCCCTTGTGGTATGAACCAGCGTCTAGTTGACTAAATTGCTTAGACGTCTAGTTTTGGGATTGGAGCACTTGCATTGAAGTATTCAGGTGTTCTGGTCAGGCCAAAACATTAACTGCTAATGATTGTGATAGTATGATCGAGAAGATGATAGCAAGATTAAAGGTATGGAGTTCAAAACATCTTGCCTTTGCTGGTCGCCTACAGTTGGTGTTATTTTGTGCTTATGAGCACCAACTTCTATTGAGGGCTGATCTTTATTCTCCCAAGGGTATCTTGAAGAGAATAAAAACCATCTGTAGATCCTTGTGGCCTATGACAGTAATAATCCGGGCTCTATTGCCTGGAACAGTTTGTTTGGGTCTAAGTGTGGTCGTTGGAGTATTAGAAACATATTAGTGTAGAATAGAGCAGCAGTTGGAAAGCAATTCTAGGACATTGCTAGGAAGGCTGACAAATAGTGGGTGAGATGGGTACACGCCGTCTATATTAAAGGGATTGGAAGGAATACCAAGCTACAAGTAGTGCTAGTTGAGCCATACTAGGTAGATTGCAAACAAGGCAAAGGGCTAAAGGCCATTTGAATTGAAGACACGTGGAACTGAAAATCGCCATAAGGTATGTGAATCCCACAATCACTTATTTATAATTGCGAGTTCAGTAACCAGTGCGTACAGAACCAACAGAGGTGCCAAAATTACTTATATGTGAATGCTTCTAAGATGATTTGACAGAAGAACAAAGAAATCTAAGTTTAGGAAGAGGTTGAAATAGCAGCAGTACGTGGCAGCTGTAGTGTACAAGATCTGGGTGGGCAAGAATTGAAGCTCTCGGGAACATGAAAGTGCCTGCTATTTCTTCGGTCATCAGGTAATATGGGGAAGAAAGCATCCTGTTTGCAAAGCCATTTCCTATTCTTGTTGTATGATTTACAAAAGGTGCATGTTTTTTTTTTTGGGGGTGTTCCACCCTGTTCACCCTAAAGGCTAATCCGGATTCGGGGATCAGTTCTGGGATATTAGGTTCCAGTCCCCTCCCAAACAAATGGTGCATATTTCACTTGCATGTTTCATACTCCAAAAGTTATGTGTTGTACAATATTGGGGAAACAGGACAGGTACCTAGAGGTTCCAGACTTGTAAGGTCTGACCATCAACTCATCTAGTCCCTCCCATTTGTATTATATAAATCGGACCACCACATTATTTATGACATATATACACCATATTAGTATTACACTATTATAACATGGCACAATATTTCTGTTACGCGAAAACACTTAATATAATGTCGTGTCAAATGATCATTACACCTCTACATCACTGTGATTTCAAACACTTCAAAGGTAAAAGATGATTCAATTATAAATCTAATGAATAAGCAACTTAAGTTTATATTCAAGACACTAAAAAGAGATAATTTTCCAGCTATTCCAAAGACCAAATTCAAGTACTATTATTACATAATAAAAAGCAAATAATAATACAAGGAGTAAAAAGAGGGACTAACACAACTAACCTTTAGTGGAACAGGAAGTGGCAACTGAGCTCCTTGGTTCAGACTATTTGCCCACTGTTTATCAATCCATTAAATGTCCTCAATTAGTCCAAATTTCACCTTAATTTATCACTAATAATGATCAAATGTTATACGAACACTTATATTCTTATACTATTAACGAGATATGTTGAAACGAATTTAACAAGACCTCCTGTAAGGGAATGTGCAAATAATAGTGTATTAAGTCCAATAATAGTGTATTAAGTCAAAACGTTGTAATTAAAAAAGAACGGAAAGAGGATTACCTGAAAGAGTAAAGTCTCAAACCTGGGGACATCAGTGTCTGAAGGCAACCTCATGGTTCCAAGAGAAACACCCTCTTCATCATCACCGCCAACGCCGCCATCTTTCCCAGGTGATGATTTCACCACAACCGGCATATGCCGGTGGCCGGAGAAAAGTAAGGAAGAATTGGGAGAGAGAATGTGACTGGCATTAGAATTACAGGTGAAAGAAAGTGAAGTTGAAATGGGGTGATGACCTGAAAACAGACAGTTATTTGACTGTAAAATCTGTGGGTTGAGTACTTGTCTAGCAGTTGCTGAAGCCATTGGCCTCTTTACTGAATTTTTATGTTATTTTATTTTATTTATTGGATGGAAAATTTTATGGGAGGATGAGAAGTTGATGGCTGAAGATAGATAGGATTTTGGTGGACAGTTGCCAGTTGGTCAGTCATATTAAAAGAATTAGATTTAAGGCCTTACCTGGAAAAGGTATATTCCGTAATAATAATTACTACCTCCAGTACATATTATATGTAACGATTAGACATTTTTCATCTTTTTGTAATAATAATATGTAACGGGGGTAATATATGCGTTAATATTAAGAGACGAACTATTATTCATCTTTTTGAAATAAAAGGAGTATTATTTTATGATCATTTTAGATAATTTCAGTTACTCCACCCGTCCATAAATAAAAGTTTTATTTGCCTTTTACGTGTTTTAGATAAAATTAACCGTGCAATTTTTATAGCAGGTGAAACAAAGTACTAGAAGATAATGTGTATATGTTGAGGAGCATTAAATTGAAATATATAACCTGATGTTAACTTATAAACAAGGCTTCAGCTTATCACTGAAGCACCGATTGAACCACTACAGTACACAGTTTTCACAAATGTTATTAAAGATACAAATACAAGTGAATTTATCTTCTTTATGTGCACAATATTACACATAATCCGATATTCCCAACTTTCGCAACTCACAGATTTTCCAGATAATCTGTGATGTACTGATGTTGCTACAACAGATGAACAAAGTTCACCCCAAAAAAAAAATAGAAAAAAAAAAAAAAAAAATCTGAAAATCCTTTACAAGAGAAACAGATGCTCTTGGCATTCCTGCGGACCACCCACCCCATTCCTTTTGGGCTCTGTTCACCTTTTGCCTCAATAATCAAGAAGAGCAAGCTTCAAGCTTTGGAAGCAAGCCTCTCCAGGCTCCAGCAATGCTGTTGGCCAAGTGTGCTTGTCCTTTGGCAAATTCATGAAATGCTACCCCCATATCTGCTGTTTTTTGTTCTTGAAAGCGTACCATCTCTTCGTTCATTAATCGAACAATAGTCTCAAACCTTCTAGTTGCTTCCTCACTTTCTGCTTTTAGCTGCAGTGACAAAAAGCACTCTGGAGATACTGGGGATATTACAGATATTCAATCAAACCAAAATTTACGCTAAATTTACCTCCCGATATTCAGCCTCAGCATCTCCATATTTGTCTGACCTTGTGAGCATGAGCTTATCTCTGAAGGTTAATCAAAATATTAGTGGGATTTAAGCAATGGCTACATATTGAACAGCAATTACAATTAAGACAGTAATATCTAATATGTGACTCAATAAGTAAAACAGATTTGCATTACAAGCAATATGCAAGGCTCCCAAGTCTGAACTTCCAAAGTAAAAGTAACATATTTCTTAAACAAAATAAAGAGCGACTGGTGCATGATGCTTATAGTCTTAGGAAAAAAAAAAGATCAAGAATCATACAGATTTATTTCCTTCAGCTTCACTGTTTCAGACAGCTCACAATGTTGCTTAAATGCGGTAGCTCTCTCTGCTATAGTGGCCTGTTCAGCAAGTACAAGAAGTTATTAGCAAAGTGAACATTCACGATAATATTTCATGTTTTCTGTCACTTTTTTATTAAAAAAAAAATTAATAAAATAAAAAGAAAAGTGCTTTATGCTTTAAATGAGCCAAAAGAAAACCTTGATAGACTGCACAGCACGAACATAATCTTTCAGAGGTTCTTCAAAATTCATTAGTAGATGGTGGGCCTGCACATTAATGGATAGCTTACTCAGATCCCCAACTAGTTAGCCACCGAACAGAAAAATTTAGCTGATGACTAAAAGCCCATATTGGGTATACTACTACGGTTATAATGAGAAAACCATGCCTCTGCTTGTAGCTTGATTGACAACTCTTCTGACTTTGTGCCAAGCTCAGCAAATGCCTTTCCAAGAGAATCTCCCTCACAGGCACCTAAGAGCTTGACTGCCTTTCCAAAATCGGACAGTGATTGTCCCAGCTCTGGAATTGAATATTGGATATTGTTTATAATGTAACAATGATTGCTATATGCCAACAGGTGTAGTATCAGATACAGTAAGATTGCAAAAAGCCTTTTACTCACCTCTATGCCTCTTAACAAGGCGACAAGCATGCTTCTGTGCTTCCCCCAAGTGCTCTTCAAGCTCAAAGATATAACGTTTCATCTTCTCATACTCAGGAGTTGATTCTTCAACAGGTTTCTCCTTCCCTAAAACAACATCACTTACTTTGGATTGCATGTCCTGTAAAAAATGGAGAGCAAATTGTACATAGCAGTTACATGATGAAAGGAATACAAAATTTTACCAATATCTTTCTCTCAAATAAATAATATTCAGCCAATAAGCATTATGCAATTCTTACATTTGATACTTGATCAAACATTGGGTTTCCAAATTACCAAGACCATAAATGCATTTATTTAATTAAGCAGTTTTTGACAAGCAGGCTTTGTTTTGTTGATCAACAATACCTTGAAGATTTGCATTAGATCAGAAGGCTTCTTGAAAATACCAAGGTCTTGAGCCCTCACTCTCTCCATTGTCTGACAAACAGGAAACCCAAAAAGATCATATATCAGTTTTCAGGATTACATGAAGAATAGTTGTCAGATAATAGTAGCAGTACACAATCCCAGTCTCCCAGACAGCAATTGCTTTAACCAATAAATAAAGTAATAACAAACACAGGTCTTTACAGGCATAGCATAGTTCCAAAAAAAAAAAAAAAAAAAAAGAAGCTGCCATTAGTACATATTACAAGCAACATTTATCTTCACCCCCTTCGAATATCTGAAGTCTCAAAAATCAGCCTCATAACATAAGAATGATAAATCCAGCACAAAGATGAAAAGGATAACATGGTACTATACATATGAAGGCAATGAAGCCTCACTCAGCAGCAATAGTGTCAACAACTACAATCTCAAACCACTGTACTCCCTAGTTGGCCAAGCAAAGAATACTACTCTTTCTAGCAAATTTTGACAGCCCAGGCATAAGGCATTTGGTAATCACCCATGAAGCATGGAAACCATCTACCCCCTTTATTTTGCTATCCTAGAACAAGAATCATTTTGAAATGCTGAGAAACGGGAATTAAGTCCCGAAATGGGCAAGAATAATATAAGCTTTCAGCTCAAAAACATCCACTAAATAAAGGGAAAATAACTGAATGACTTGCTATTCAAGTTTCTGAATACAGTAAACTAAGATCTGTTAATCTCTTTCACTGTGCTCTTGACAGGTGACTCTGACCTCATATTCTCAATCTCAGAGAATTCTCAATTAGTCACTCAGAGTATCAGACCCACATCAACCTTTGCTGGGTTGGTCTGCAGTCAACTCAAAATTACTTACTAGCCAGTGCACTTTGTAAGATCCTATCTCTCAGCTTTCACACTATCAGGCTCTCAGGCTCCCAAAAAAGTTAATTGAGGCTCACCAAAGAGACCACATGAAGCTCACTGCTTCCCCCCAACATGTGGAGCTATGCTGCCATTTTTTTCGTCACTGTCTGAGTCAAAACTCTCAATCAAATTGGAACATTATTAAAACAGGAGTTTCTTTCTACTTCTCTGATTTAGATAACATCATTGAGGATATTTTCGTTTTAAGCTATTCTTTTAATTATGTTTATTGGTCGTATGTCAAACGGGAGGGTAATTTTGTAGCCCATCATCTCGCTAGAATAGTGCCTATTGGGTATGAACATGTTTGGGAAAATCATGTCCCAACTGATTAAGCCCCGAATGTATTATACGACAAGTTAGTTTCAAGTTAATAATATGCACTATTCCTTTAACAAATAAAAAATAAAAAAAATTAAAAGAAACAGGCTCTAGCTCTATCCTCAGTATTAAAATTCGAATGGGAGACCCAAAATTTGATCATTGAAACTATCACATATCTCCAAACTGAATTGATGACTTAGTTGATTTCTAAAGCCTTTCTCTCTTTGCTTCCTTCCCTACAACCACACTGCCCTCTTATTAGGACATTTTGTAAATTTGGAATTTAGCGGCTATGTTATAATTTGTTGATATATTTGACATTGCTGTTGCTTACTACTGTATTTGCTACTTGGTGCATTGACGATTTTTAATTTTCCTTTCTACTTTTGTTTTAGTGAAATTTCCTCGTATTGAACTTCTTGAAAAGTGAGGTTTTCCCATCAATGTTTCCGTGCTGCATAGGCAACTACCTATAAGATATCTGAACAGGTTACATGCTGATGGCTCTCGTAAAAAAGGATCGAGTTTGTACGCACTTTCTCTATTAACAACCTAAATAACGACAGGATAGTGACTTTATTTTCTCGTCAGCCTCCAAATATCAAACCTTATCCTGCTATGTATTAGCTAAAAGAATCCTATCCTATAGTTCAGATATGGTATATGTTACACCTATAAAAGATCAAGGTCTTGCAGGAAATCAAAAAACATATTTCTAGCAGGAAAAAAAATTATGTGAGATCTTGAGTTTGCCTGTATTTAGATTTTCTAGCTCTATAGCTTGGATGCTACTCTATACTCTCATTGAACCATACATTAGCCACCAAAAAGAAAATTAAATTAATGAAATGAATACATGAGCAGTTCTGCAGATCTGCAACTGATTAGCTAAGCTTTGATATAAGGATGTACTACAGATTTACAGGAGGCACTTATTGGAAGAGAAGGCGTGCATAGACTAGCCCTACAAATATTAATTAGAGTTTTTGACTAGCCTGCAGCCTGTTGACAAAGGAGCATAGTCAGAAGAATAACAAGGAGAAATTGAGGGTATGGCATGACGGCCATGATCAAAGACTGCACTATCATTACCACACAATGAATCAACGCAGAAATCATAAAGATCAACAGAAATGACACCAAGTGAAATATGTAACACCACTTCAGCAGCTATGAAAGCACTATTTTAGACGGATATAGTAATAACAATAAGTTTCTCATTACTAATTGCCTAATGGATATCCAGCCATACTACTCTTTCAAGAAGATTAACAAACGTAATAATATATGGCATTTATGGGACATAATCAAGCAACTGACCTCTTCATCTGCCTGCAAAAATAACCTCAGATCATCACTTAGGCGAAGTTCAGGATGTGAAGCTATCCGGTTAACAAATAAATCCAAACCTTGACGCCTCATTTCAATGAATTCGGCACTGAAGCGAAATTTCTCTACAAAGAGTAAACAAAATCATATCAAGCATTTAAAACCAATAGTTAAGCTAATCAGTCCAACACTCCAAATATTAGCATTTAGCAGCTCTGTCAAAAATTCCAACAGTTTTTAAATAGGTTAACGAATAAACTAGTTCAAAAAAGTTTTTTAAACAAAAATTAAATCTACCAACAAATCAAGTATTGTGGATAAATTTCTCTTAAAAGAAAATATTTTAGCTTATGTAGCTGTATAAAGCCCTAACAGTTCATTTATTAGCAACAAGTATTTGAAAGGTTTAATAAAGTCCATTACACAATGGCCTTCAAAATTTAGACCCTCGATTTGATTTGTATGGAGCCTATCCTTTAAATCTTTTCCCATAATAATGATAGTAAGCCATAATTTGAGTGCTATATAGCAAAAACTGTCACTAGAAGGCTTATGACCAAGTTCCACTGCTAAATGACCAAAAAAACGCACTCACTTAAAAACAGTCGAAGCATGCATTATGTCCTCGTAAATTAAGGATTGAAATCACCACAATTATGAGATTGCTTCAGCAGCCCTTTCCAAAAAAAATGAAGGAAAGCCCTTTCTAGAACTTTAACACAAAAACACTGCCCTAATTTTTACATGAGACACATACACTCCATCATCAGTGATATTCACTACGGTTTTCAATTCATTGTGATTATCGTTGCACAGAATTTCAATATACACTTCCTAAACACAGAAATGTATTAACAATGCAGTAACAAAGTTTTTACAATTCAAAGAAACAAGATTAAGTTTCTTTGACTACATCAGTCATCATAAACAAAATTTTGATGAACAGATGTAGCAAAGCACACATCATGATGGACACAAAGCACATTAGCATCAACACCATTAGCTTTCAAAATTGAAGTTTAAGTGTAAAACCATAAACAATAAGTAAAACCTCACCAACAGCACTTTTCTCTGGAAGAGGGGGTATAAAGATGCCTTTGTATCTCTCGAAAAGGCGATCACGTAACCAAACAAAGTCATTGTATCGTCGAATGACAATTTTTTCAGGTCCTTGATAATCTGGTAAGTTTGTCTGCCAAACATGAAGATGAAAATTAGCATATCAAGCTATCTTCAGGTTATATAACTTAAGCAAATAATAACTAGAAACTGCATAAACTTTAATCATCCAATATCAACAATGGACAAAAAAGAGCATAATATGGGCTAATTGACCAGATTGGTAAATAAAAAAGACTCTTAGCGACAATTTGGTAAAAAAAACTTACTCCGGCGACAATTTGGTAAAAAAAAACTAACCTTAAGCGACAATTTGGTAAATAAAATAATCTCAGGCGACAATTAACCCAAAAAATACAAAAATTTCCGATAAATTACTCGCGAATGCTTAATATAGTTCTTTTTCTTGTTATTTTACCAACCCTATTTTACGGAAATAACAATTTGAAGAAAAAAACGTTAAGTATCAATTTTCACTTAAGTTTCATACCCCTTATTAACGAAATTTTTTTAAAAAGGGGTTGGAAATAAAAAGGGATGACATGTAAATTCAAAATTCTAAATGGAATAAATAAATTTATGAACACAAAAACAAATTAAAATATGATTTTTAAAGAGTTTGTCGGGAAAAAATAGATTTTTTGGTCTAAATGTCGTCGGAGTTTATTATTTTTACCAAATTGTTGCATATTGTTAGCTTTTTTTACCAAACTGTCGCCGGAGTAAATTTTTTTACCAAATTGTCGCTAGAGGTCTTTTTTATTTACCAATTTGGTCAATTGGCCGCATAATATGCAATGAATAGATTTTGCATCTCTTAGAAAGTCAGAAGGCTTTTTTCTGTATGTCTAAGCTCATCCTCTCAGAATGTTTAGAACTTTATAGCACCAATAAAATAAATCAAAATTTCAGATAGGAAACAGCAGTGAGATAAATAAATCTAGGAGGATCCGATTTGTAAACTTCTTCAATAGATATACAAAGTACAAGCAGCAAAAGCAACCAATATACACCCAAACCAATTGTGGGAAAAAATCATTTGATTACTTAAAAATATGATGTCATAAAGCCAGGAAGGATAATTTCAATCACAAACACACTCCTGTCACGTCCGAGAACATTTAATCATGTAACCTGATTGCCAAGATATCAATATTGTAGGGTCAATAACTTTTTACGTGTATGATTCATGTTCTCTTTGGTACATACTAACTTCGCACATCTCAATATAGGTATTTGAGTCATAAGGTAGCAATTTAATTATCCTACAAATTGTTACATATTCAAAACACAACTTAAAAATAAGTAGAAAAAAAAAACACAGATGTCAAGAGGAAACCTTAACATCTATATAGTTCATTTAATTGCTTCTACAACCTTAACTAAATTCTAAAAAAAATTCCATATAATTTTCAACACTTTCAAATTCAATTTTCAAAACTTTCAAATTCCCTGAGGCAGCATTAATATAAGCTTCCAGTTCAGATGAATCCAACTTACACATACACGTGTACATATGCAAATCTCTAGCTCCCAACAGCCAACACGTTCAAAGATCCAGCAGGAAAGAAGACGGTTTAAGAGTACTCCACTACCCCCCAAAATTTTAAACAGTTTCAGCATCATTCAGATTATTTAGAAGCTAATATATATAAGTATATATAACTTTTAAGGTGCAGAATGAGGGAAGGAGGCAAATACGCCCATTCAAAAATAAAAGTAAAAAATAAAAAATAAAAAATTCTAGTCTATTACAAATTCAGTCCTTCAGAACAAAAACTTAGCAAAAACAGATTCTGAAGCAAGGTGTCGGCTTGCTAAATACTAGCAAAAATCTTTGTCGTTACTCATTAGAGTAGGGCGGTTAATCAAATGAATGGAGAGTGGCTTTACATCTCCTACTTGAGTAGAGTTCTAGTTATAGTACGATAAATCTTCCCAAAAATACATGAAAATTGTGATGACTCTGGCTAAGCCTCCTATACACTTCACCTGCGTGAGGCGCAAGTGCGCAACAGCCAACAGTGCACATCAAATGACGCAACTCAGGTTGGTCATACAAGCAAAATGATGTGGGAAGGTAACTAGTTGAGGCAAGAAAGTATCTAAGAATTGTTAAGAGAGGTAGCAAGGGAAAAAAAAAATCTAGGAAAAACTTGCCCTGCAACCTAAAACACTAAACACTGTATAAGCCTTGCCTGCACCACTACAACACTAAACTCATCCACAACCTCACAATATGTGACTCAACTCATTGGGTCCAAACAACAAGTTGCAATCCTAACACATCCCTATTGCAATAAACTTTCACTGCAAATATTTTGCACTAAAATTCTTCGTTTCCAGAAAATAAAAGATTGGAGCTAATTCTATATAGTGAAAGCGCTTAGACCTTCGAAACTTCTTTTAAAAACCTTCGCCCAAATGACTGTAATTACCATATATAACAGCTCAAATAATCTCCTCAGATCCCATAATAATAGCTCAAATCTAGTAATCTACTCATCATAATGCACAAGCAAAATCCACAGCTCGTCGAGCTCGAGATCTTTAGTGTGCCAACATCCAGGGTTTCGGCATAAGACACCACAAACCAAACAAACCACTGCTCACCAACCTTACCAATTCAACTCTGCATCTCATCATTAATACCTATTACACAAATATACACACATATACCCAAAATTGAACATTATTCCAAACAATAACTCAGTAGTCTTTCATCAATCTTCCAAAATCAAAACCCCTTCTACATCTATTTCCACAACAAGACCTCAAATTGAATAAAAACAATTCTAAAATTGGTCAAAATGAATCACTTCAACGCACTAACATTGCCCCAATTCACAACAAATCATCAGAAAGTCATCAAAAATTGAAACTAATCCAAATTATGATATTGACAACAACAAAACTATATTGAAGAATTACGAAATCAAAGCAGAAAAACAAAAAACCCTAATTGAGAAAAAATTGAAAAATTATACCTTAGTGAAGACTCTGTAAGAGATGTAAGCTTGGACGCCATTGCCTAATTTGACAGGATCAGAGACTGAAACTGATAAAAATGGTTGAGATTGAGGAGATCTAGGGCTTTGCGATGAACCTGATGATGAACTTCTCTGATTTTGCTGCATTTTTTATTTTATTTTTTGGGAATTTGATGAGAGTTTGATTATTTTTTCGCCACAAAATTGAAGTTTTTCTGTTGGGGAAAGGAAAGAAATAGAGTAATTGGAAAAGGAGAGTAGAAAAGTGGAAAATCAGTCGTTCGTTTTTCTGTTGGGGAAAAGAAATAGAATGACCCGATTTGCTAATCCATTATCCATTTGACTTCATTTGGGTCTTGGGTTGGATATATGATCATAATAATTACTTAAATGTTTTTTTTTTTTGAGGCAAATAATTACTTAAATGTTTACAAAATTTGATCATTTAATATATAAAATTGAATATAATTATCATTTCAAAAAAAAAATTAGAATATAATCTAATCTAATCTAATCTAATATATATAAACGCGAGTTTTTTACCAAGTTTTTAGAGAGCAGGATTTAATTTTCTTAGCGCGCCACGTAAGATTATAAATTTAAGTTGTATCAATTAAATAAGAAATTATTAATTTCTTGTACGATTAAATTATTCAAATGCCACGTAAGCAAAATTGACGAATGAGATTTTAAAATCTAATATATATTAAAAGGCGAGTTTTTTACAAGTTTTTAGAGAGCCACGTAGGATTTAATTTTCTTAGCGTGCCACGTAAGATTATAAATTTAAGTTTTACCAATTAAATAAGACATTATTAATTTCTTGTACGATTAATTTATTCAAATGCCACGTAAGAAAAATTGACGAATGAGATTTTAAAATTTAAATTAATTAAATACAAATATTATCTTTTAAGATTAGATTTTGTAAAAAAAAATACTAACAAACCGTGCATCGCATGGGCTTCATCTAATTATCATATAATTAATCATATACTAGATGAAGCCCGTGCGATGCACGATTTGATTGAATTTTTTTTTTAAAAAAAATTGTATTTATGTGCTAAAATTTGTTATATATTTAGATAAAATTCCTAATATCAAAAAATAATATTTTATATTTAATTAATTGAAACTTTAAAATATCATTCACCAATTTTGCTTGCGTGGCATTTGTATTAATTAATTCTAAAATAAATTATTAATCTCTTAATTTAATTGGCTACAACTAAATTTTATAATCTTACATGGCGCGTTAAGAAAATTAAATCGTACTTGGCTCTCTAGAACTTATATATATATATATATATGATGCCCGAGTTGTTTATTAATTAATTTTTCAATAAATTTTTAATCTATGTGTCAAATTTTAAAAAATATAATTGAAACAAAATTAGTTAGCAATTGATGTGCTTTTCTGACAATTTGCTATCTAGTAGGCATGTAATAACATAAAAAAAAAAAATTAGCAAAAATTAAATTAAATAAAAACATGTTAAAGCCCTGTTGGGTTGACCCGAACCCAAAACTTTGGGTGAAGGTTGAACATTCTTGGTCCGTTGCCTAAAGTGACCCGATCCAAAATGACTCATGACCTGACCCTGATTGATAGGACTACATAATAATAAAATTATATTAGATTGTGAAGTGTATTATTTTTACTAATTAGTATATATATTAGAATGAAATGGATGTTTTACGTTTTGAACTACTTCTTTTGCTCCAAAAAAATTATGATATTGAAAATACATAAATAAATAAATATATATATATATATATATATATATATATATAAGTTTTTAGAATCATAATCTAAAATATTTTTTGAATAAAATTATAATTCAATTTGTACATCTGAAATATTGGTATTTTATCAAAATAAAACTTTAAATTAACAATTTTATCCTAAAACTCTATCCAAATTTGATTGAAAATATAATTCTAAACTAATTTTTTTAGGCGAAATTGGCCTCAACAATACGAAGTTTTAACAAGGTGCAAATACCAGCATGAACTTTGACTAGTAGCTATAACATAAATGAAGCTTGATACCAAAAATTTTGTCGAAGACATGGAATCCAGTATTTAATCATCATAAAAAATCGTCTGGTATTGCGTGCCTCAAATTTTATGCACACCTTATCAAGCGAGGTTTTGGAGATCAATTTAGTCAAATATGATATCAAAATTTGCAAAAAGTTAATAAAATAAATATGATATCAAAATTTGCAAAAAGTTAATAAAATATTAATATTCGATAAAATTTCTGATCATCAATTTCATTTATGATATTTTGTGCACCCGATGAAGAAGTTGGTGTTGTTACGGCTACTAGTCAAAGTTCATGTTGTTATATGCACCTTGTTAGAAATTCGTGTTACTAAGACCGATTTTTCCTTTTTTTTAATCATATGAAGTCTATCTAAATCTATCCAACGTGACGCGACACTTGGCGTTACACTTGGCGAAAAGTTGGAACACCAAGTGTCACTGTCTTGTGACCTGGCTAGAATTTTAGCTTTATATATTAGTTATATGATTAGATTGGACCACGGCCTTAAAAATGAACATTTAGTAATGAAATTATGAATGTAGGAGTTGTATTGGTGGTAATGCAAATCGAATAGTGCTCGAGTGAGTTGTCGGCTTGTCACTTGATAGCATGTGAGTTGCGTCAAGGCCGAGCAAGCAAGCGCTAGCTCGATGCTCGTATTGCTTGCGGCAAGGTCGAGCTATAGCTATAGCTTGCTACTGAGTGAGCAATAGCTCGGTGATCGCACAGCTTGCGGCAGAACTGAGCTATAGCTCGATAGTAAGGCAGCAATAGCTCGGCTTCACGTTAGTACAACGTGAAAGGCAAGTTTATATTGTTCATTTGATTCCTTTTCTTAACTAATCTTATATACACTCTCTTAAGTCCCCATACGCTAGACATGGAAAAAAATTGAAACCCTAACCACATAAACACAAAACAATCCTTTGAGATCTGAACAGTTCTTGAGTAATTTCACTCTTCAGGGTTCGGGTACACGTATTACATGGAGAGTTGTGTTAACATTGGGGGGCGTGCATCATTAGGAAACTAGTACTCATGGTAGCATATTTTGCTTCTAATGCACTAGATTCTGTTATACGACACAACTGTATTATTGAGATCTTCAATTATTATTTTCCTTTTCACCTTCATTCTTTATTTTGTTATTGGAATCGATAGGGTTTTTTTTCCCAACAATCAAAACATAAAAGTGAACATCTATCTATAATATTATAAAAACTCAAAGGGATAATATGGTACCGCCATGTGTCACCTTTTCCCTCAACATGACTAAGCGCCACATGTGTCTTATGTGTCACAGCTTTCCCTCAATATTAAGAGGTTATATAAACGGAGGGTTGAGAGAGATTTAAAAGTGTCTCGCAGGGGTAGGTTGGTCATTTCATGCGGGATTTAAATTTTGCCATTTTAGATTCAGTGGTACAAAATACACTCTCAGTAGTACAAAATATAATTTTAGTGGTATTTAAAAAAAGATTCAAATGTCTAATTAGGCTGTCAAATAATATCATCACAGCTCAGTGGTACAAAATACACTCTCAGTGGTACTCAATGCGGTTTTAGTGGTACTTATAAAAATCTCCAGTGGTACAAAATATACTCTCAGTAAATGTGGTCCAAATTTTTTTTTTTTTTTTTTGTCGTTTTTGCACCTGAAACCAATTCTGACTCCAAAGGTGGGTCATACCTCACCCTTTTTTCACTCTCTCTATCTCTCACTTCCTTTCTCCCTCTTCCTTGTACATTTACTATATTATTTTATGTTGTGAGACATTTTATTTTGTCTCACAACCCTTCAAATGTACTTCCTCCAATATTAAATGCCTCCACATTAAAAAAAAAAAAAAAAAAAATTTATACAAAAAATGAAAACCTACACTTTGCATTATAAAAAGAATATCCAACAAGTAGAAACTAGAATTGGTTGAAAATTACAAAATTACATAAAAATAAATAAATAACTAAGACGACTAAAGTAGAAAAAGAAATAAAATAATTAGAACCTCAAAACCCAATAATTAAAAATAATTAAATAAAAATAATTTACAAATCTAATAAAACCAAAACCTCAAACTAATAAATGGAAGTTGTAACTTAATTGTATTCTTTATCGTCAAAAGAAAATATAGTTTCACCATTTTTTATTGTTCTTAAAATTTGCTTCCTCTACACAACTTTAGGGTCTGTTCTGATTTACTTAACTAATTGGAGTTGAAGTGAACTGGACTAAACTAAATAGAGATGAAATAAATTATTTATGATAGAACGATATTAGAAATTGAACTGAACTGAAATTAAGCTAAAGAGAATGGGACCTTAAACAATGACGCCGCCACCACCACCCGATCCTAAACCTCACCGCTTCACTCCATGTCACCATCACACTAGCTGTTGGAGAATTAAAGGGTCTCACTTCTTAACCACCGCCGTAACGAAAAGTGTTTTAGTAAACACACAGTATTGGGTGCGGCTATGTTTCGGCAGTCGAGACTCAAGAAAATATTAGATCATCATCATCATCATCTTCTTGCAATGAAGAACAAGTTTTTACCCAATAACAAGTTGGTGGTGGTTACGACGAAGGAGAGGAGCAAGATCATTCATGGAGGAAGAGAGGAGCAAGGTCATTCATGGCGAAAGAGAAAGAAAGCTTGAGATTCTCGGATTTTTTGAAAAATACCCAAAAATCGAATTGGGGCTTTCTTATGTGATGTATAATTGTTGAAATTGATTGTCCCATATGAATGTATGTTGATCTGTGAGCATTTTGATAACATATACATATATTTTGGTTGAGAAAAGTGGAAATTATATTATACTCACAACCTTTAGTACGAGCATTTTGATAACAATATGTAGCTAAGAATTTGCAGGTTGGATGTGTTGAGACGCTAGAGTTCAGACTAAGATGTCAAATAAAATTGATCGAACGAAATCTGACCCATTACAAAACCTAACTAACTAGATAGAGAATATACAACTTTATTACTTTCTCCGTTCTTTTAATATTGCACCATTTCTATGTTACGACAAAAAATATCTCTATTTACACTACAAATATCCAACATACTCTTACTTTTTCACACTTATTTTTTACTTTATGTATACATCACATAGATAATTTTGTATTTTTACCTTTCTCCCTCTTCTTTTTCTCCCACTACCAAAAAAAAAGCTATTTGTAACGGATAGTGCCCAGTGCCCATTACAAATAAGTAGTTATTTGTAACTTGACACTTTTTCTGCCTTTTATAAATAGTCGATATTTTTTTTTGGTAGATTTTGGCAGCATTTATTTGTAATTTGGATAATTTAGAACCTGTTATTATAAACATGTGCCTGTGCAACCCTGTACATACACTATTTGTAATGCACGAAAATTACTAGAAATAATATAAAAATATAAGTAATACATTACAAATAAAACTTGTATAAGTTTAATAAACATACAACCCTAATACTACATTATTCTACCTAATAGTTACGATTTTAATAAATATTTAGATATAAAGTATTGCACCCATTGTTCTCAAACCACATTCAACCCGGCATCATCATAAGCGGTTTTTCTTGGACAAATAAAAAACAACAGTGCGTTTCTGGTGCGGCTGGCCGCACGGTGCAACAGGGTGCCCTATTAGTAACCCCTAAAGTAACCCCCAAAGTAACCCCACTTAAGTAACCCCCCAAGTAACCCCCAAAGTAACCCCTGGCCAGACCAAGTAACCCCTTACCGGACCAAGTAACCCCTAACCGCACCAAGTAACCCCTTAAGTAACTCTTGACCGGACCTAGTAACCCCCCTAGTAACCCTAACCAACCAAGTAACCCCCGACCTAGTAACCCTAACCAACCAAGTAACCCCCGACTTAGTAACCCCAACCTAGTAACCCCCAACTAACCTACACCACCTCCCGTACCCACTGCCCCACGCCGCCAACAACCATCACCAACGAAAAACTACAAACCTAAACCACCAACAAAACAGATCTAGAACTCAGAACCACGAAACCACCACGAAACCATTTCTACCCAAAAATGAACCACCACCACTACCCACCCACGAATTTACCATACCCACCCACGAAAACACCACGAAACCACTTCTACCAGAAACCAACCACCACCAAACTCACCCACGAACAACCCACACCCAATACCCATCCGAACCCTCACCGAACCACGAATTTACCACTACCCACCCACGGATTTAGCACCACCCACCCACGAAACCACCACCAAATGATAGATCCGAAGGCAACGACGATCTGAGTGAAGCTCTTCGCCGGATTCGAGAAGGAAGTCGACGAAAATCTGGGTTGGAGCATGAAGTCGGTGCTTCAATGGAGGAGAGGAGAGGAGAGAGAGAAAAAAATAAAGGGAAATTCTACGTGGTGGCCTCCAACTTTTACAAATTCTACGTGGTGTCAAAAAAAAAAACTCATAATCTCTAGTGAACCCAAACTTTCATTAAACTCTATTTAGTGGGCAAATCTCACTTAGAATGGATTAACCACTCGTTTAGGGTTAGATTATTAACTCTAATCAAGTGAATTACTAACCTACCCCCATTTAAATCATATCCACATTTTGATTTTATTTCAACAGAATAATTTAACACCATTGCAGGCTCTTAAAATCCTCCCCTTTTCTTCGATAAATTAGGGTTCTTATAAAAAAAAATTGAATTCGTAAATTTGCAACTGTTTGATTTTCGAGCAATTGGTTCAAGGTCCAAATCCACCATTACAAAAACGAAGAGCTTCAATTTCTACTCGCCTTTCAACGACAAACTTGAACGCCCTTAAAGCCGTGCCGCAGGCGCCGCCGTTCGCCGTAAACTTACCGAAGATGATCTTCTCTGTCCTCCTCCTTCTTCTCCCTCGAATTCTTACCTTGATGGTAATCAAATTATGGAGTTGTTTCGTAATTGCATCAAGCTTGCCAGTGAAAATGTCTCCTCTCTTTTCCCTTTTTATTTTTCGCCCATTTTCGAAGTTTTTTCTGCTATATATCTGAAATTCTAGTGTTTTTGGGTGATTTATGGGTTTTTGCGTGGATTGGTGTAGTTTAATTTCTTTGATTCTATTGAACTGCAATTTGTGAAATTCAATTGCCCATTTTTGTAATGATTTCTGGGTTTTTTTTTTTTTTTTGCTCGGATTGGTGTAGCTTAATGTACTCGATTATGTTGCAAGTTAAGGAATTATGCTCATGTCAAGAACTAAAAATTAGATTATTAGAACTTGCAATGATGAGGATAATGTGGGTCTTTCTGAAACATTTACTCTAAGCTTGGAAGGAATTAAGTTGGGGGCAATTGGACCTCTTTAGACTAGCTCATAGCAAGATCGTCATAGCAAGATCCGAATTGGTTGGTTTTTGTTGTATATTGTATTGAGGTTGTAGTGTATCTTACTTGGTGAGCTTTGATTTAATTATGATACTCTGATAGTGATATGGTGTCTTCACTTTTGTTGATATGCTAGTTTAGGTTATCAAAGCTTAAAAAGGGCCTCTTAAGTCTAAAAGGCAATTAGGTAAGAACAATACTATCTGAAATCATGCTTGCAATAAAGGCACCTAAGACTAAGTACATCAAGTATATATGAAAATAAGTAGGGAGTATGTGCAGAACAATAGCACAGTAAGAAAAATTTCCCGACTTTTTCAATGAATACCATATTGATGACATAACTGTAGCTTTTATACACATTACGCAGAAGGAGGAAATTTATACAACAGGATACATACATTTATAGCGAAAATGTAATATATCTGACAGTCTCTTACCAAAACCTATTAGCTCAATGGGTAGAGCAATGTACAGTAGTGTACATGGTGTGGGTTCAAGTCCCGCATAGCCTACATAACACTCCTAGAGTGATCAAAGTTGATGCTAATATTCCCACCCATGGCACATTAGCTACTAACACACAATAAAGATCATAATCTATGAACTGTGAAATAAAGATCAGAATCTATGCCAATTCAAGCACTTCTACAATAAAGATCAGAATGTATGAACTGTGAAACAAATTAAGAAAATCCACTAATCATCAGTAAATGGTACGCACTACAAATTATAGACTTCACATAAATACAATCCATTCAGAAAGCTCAATCCCTATGCCAAACAGGATGCACTACTTAATTAAGCTTAAAGGCACTTACCTATTTTCTGATAAGCCCTTAATCTTTTAACTAGACAACGAAGAACAAACAGAAGACACTAAGTAATTGTCACTACCAAATAGACACCAACACCTTAGCTCAATATATTCCACTGACAACAATTCCTGTTTCTAACTCCCTTCAGGTGGCTAGTCCGGCTAACATTGATCTTGAACCCAAAACTGCACAGAGGAAATTGTCGTTTGAATTGGCTGGAAGCAAACAGAGAGATTAACTGCTCGTGAGTTCTCCATGTGCTCCACCCATAACCAATCAGGATTCAAAAGCAATTGAACTCACAGTACACATTCAAGCAAACACCAGAGGAGGAATAATTCAAGTGCCAATGATCTGAGTAGAATCCAATATCCTTACGGCCAGTTTGGTTAGCGGTCAAAAATCACGGGAATGATAACTAAACTGTGGGTAAATTTGTTTGGAAATAAATAAATAAATAAATAAATAAAACATGTTAGCTACCATGGTAATATAGCAGTGCAAAGACAAGAATTCTTCAAACAAACATCAAATCTGGTTTCATATAGCAGCAACCAGTTGTTCAACAAAAAAAAAATGTTTCAGAAAAAAAGACATATGTATAACTTTATAAGTTGACCTTTATTTACTACTAAATAAAAGATACACATGTTGAAAAAACCAGACCCCAGGCTACATTTTCTCTTTCCCTTTGTTGTTGTTCCTTGGCTTGGACTGAGATGGCTGAGAAACTGGCTCTGGTTGGGAAGAAGATATAGAGGCAGCAGCAGTTGTCTTTTGTTTTTTCTGGTTTTTATGATGCTCGGTATCGTGTGATGCTTTTTCCTTTGCATTCATACCACCTTTGCATGTTTGCTTGTTATGGCCATATGATTTACAGAGTGAGCATTTGACTGTGGTTGACCTTTTTTCTTTATCTGGTTCATCATCAGCTATTCTTCTCTGTCTTGATGGTCTTCCTATTCCTCTCCTCATTGTAGGAGCTTGAATTGTTGGTTGGTCAATTTCTGGCCAATGCTCAATGTCTGGAATTGAGTTGATAGCATGTGAATAACATTATTTGTAGGCTGCAACTGAGTACCATGTGCTAACATACTTATGAGGATCATGTCCTGCAGCTAGTATAGCCTTTAATGCATGCCTACAAGGGATGCCTGAAATTTGTCAAGCCCCACATATACAACTTCTATTATTGAGTGACACCGGGAGCATTGACTTACCCTCTCTTATTTCATATTCTCCCTCTTTACTCTGGAATGCCTTGCAAGTTCTGGAAGCATTGATCAGCATTTAGATACTCCTTACAATAGTTGGACATGGATCAGAATCATTCTAATCTTTACATTTCTGTCTTCTAGTTGACATCCTTACCATACACATTCTTCGTATGCCTGCAAAAACCACATATAACCAAGCATACAATTCAACATAAGAACCAAGTTATATTTACAAAAATAAGGATTAATAAAGACATAAATTTTTACCTTCCAAAAGAGTCAGAACAGTCTGCATCTGTCCACTCCCAAAGTGGCATTGAAACTCTCGACGAAGTTAGTTTTATTCTCATCTGTGCATATCTTTGGATCAAACTTGTGTCTTGACCACCTCTCTTGATCTCCTAGATTAGCTTACCATTTTAGTGCCAAGTGGTTTGTCTTTTGAATTCTTTCCATAGCCTTTTTAAAGGTGAATGTTGAAGTAGCACTACATGCCAACCAAAATAAGGAGTGCATCAAGGGTCCTGGAAAAGCTGATTTCCAATTTTTAGCTAAGTGCTTGCAGCAATACCTCCTCCCTAATTTTGGCCATAGCTCAGTTAAAGCAAGATCTATTCCCTACAAGAACACATAATGAAGAAATTAACACTAGTAGAGTATACTTACTGAAATTAAGCCAACATACGAGACACTAACCTTTTGCCTGTTAGATATAATGCACCAATCATCCCCTCTATTTAAGTCTTTCAAGATTTGCTTTAAATGCCAAATGAAAAACTTCTAGTTCTCCCCATCTTCAACTGAAACTATAGCCCATACAAATGGATGTAGCTCATTATTTGCATCTATAGCCACTGCAGATAGCAAAACCCCTCCATAGTTCCCTTTCAAGTGAGCACCATCAACCCCAATCAAACTTCTACAACCTGCACCAAGCCCATCTATTGCTCCCTTGAATGATATGAAAATGCTAGAGAAAGTGAGTTTGGGGATCATTCTTTCTCCATGCACAGTTAGCTGCTGAACCAGGATTAGTTTGCTTAACCATTTCACACTACCTAGGAAGATGGCCATAAGACTCATCATGTCCACCATTGATCTCCCTAAGAGCAATACTCCTCATTTTATAGAGAGTACTAGTGGCCATCTGCACCCCATACCTGGTCCACAACAAGTCATTCAAAGTTTTCCCGGTTATATCATTGTTTGCCCTTATATCATCAATTAGCTTACTTGCAGCCCACTTCACATTAACTAAAGGATTCCTCTCATCCAAACCCCTACAAGTGTGCTCTGAATCTTTTATACTCTTTATGGCCCAAGTAGTGCCATCAGGGAGTACACTTGAATGTATCCTCCAATTACAGTTCAATTCCAAGCACTGAACAGTGAATCTAGTTGGACTAGATCTATCCACTACAATAGCAAACCCAGATTGTATACTGTAATCTCTTAGAACAGATAGGAAATGTGCTTTATCAGTAAATATCATCCATGGTTTCAAAACAATACTTCCAAACTCAACATTTTCAGCAAATTCTCCATTCTTGTACATTTTACTGACATAAGTGTCATCATCAAGTAGTTCAGTTTTCCATACATCAGATGCATAAGCATCATAATTGTCAATGATCTCACCAAATTCCTGTTCTTCTTCATCTGAGACACCACCTCTTTCAAAATATATGTCTAAATCTTCATCTCCAATGTCAGCATTCATTTCTGGCCGTAAAGTTTCTCCATGCTCAAACCTCCTATTAAACTCCTCTTCAGTAATCACTTGTGCCTCTTTTTCGTATGGTGTGTTCAACAAGCCCTTCCTAGCAGCAGTAGTCTTAGGTATTTTATGAACAATCAAGGTTGTGTTGTTTGATGAGGTTGGATTCAGGGTAGTTTTTTCAAGCAAAGGAGCATTGGAAAAAGTAGTAGTGTCAGCTAGAGTAAGTGGCTCATTAGTAAGTAAACTTCTTTGATCAGGTAACTTAACCCTAGGCTTAGGATTGCCCCGTCCCCCCTTTCCCTTCTTTTTATGTGTCTTACATCCACTGGCTTCCTCTTCTATTCTTTCCCAATTGTCTATAAGTGTTTCATTTATCCTAGGTGGACTAACATCAGGCATGTCACTAGTCCCAACATCAAAGCTTTGGTTGTTTTTCATAGGTGGACTTAGACTATAATGCATATTGGGTTTGTTTTTCAATGACTCTGTAAGATTCCTAGCTGCAACTACACATTCAGAAGGTGTTTCAACTGAACCCACATACACTGTAATCACTTTCTTACTTCCTCCTATTCTATCTAACTTAGACATTAAATCACTGTCACTAGTAATTTTAACATCCTTCTTATTATAACAGTAATGGAAACTAGGATATTTAGGCATCATATACCCATTTTTCCTAAACAATTCCTCATACTCAATAATCAAATCAATCCACATTACTTTATCAACATCATCAACATTAATATCAACCACATTCTCGGCCGTTTGAAATTTTAACACAATTGAGTCCATTCTGCAACATTAAACCAAACACACAAAAATTCCAAATAAATCAAGGGAATGCCCAATAAAATTCTCAAAACTAAGCTAGCTGCAAATCGCACAAAAAAAAAACAAAAAAACAGAGTAACCAGAATATTAAGCATGCATATATGAGCAAAATTCAAAATTTATTGAAAATATCTTCAACTGATTACGTGGAAGATGTTTAACACATTAATGTTCAGTCGCAAACCGTTATTTTGCAATGAATCCAACAACAAACCCTAGGCGTTGATTTGAATACTCAATCGCAAAATTGCCAAAAAATACAACACAAAACAGAGAGAACTTTGTGCAAAATCTGTAAATAATCAATTTACGTTCTTAAAATTTGCTCAATTTCAACGAGTTTGAAGTTTTGTTATAGATTGCACTTTGAATTTTAGGGAAGAAGATGAACAGGTATATTGATCATCAGTGCGTGAATATAGTCAGCATTAATTTAATAAGAGGAAAGGATTAGAAATAGGGTTAGGTTAGTAAATTCATAAATTAGACTTAATAAAGTCAACATTAGTGAGTGGTTAACCCATTCTAAGTGAGATTTGGCCACTAAATAGAGTTTAATGAAAGTTTGGGTTCACTAGAGATTATGTGTTTTTTTTTTGACACCACGTAAAATTTGTAAAAGTTGGAGGCCACCACGTAGAATTTCCCAAAAATAAAAAAATAAATAAATAATTGTGGCTGGCCGTACGGTGCGGCCAGCCGCATATAAAACTTTGTGAAAAAACAAATAAGTGAGGTTAGAAAATAAAACAATCACTAAAATAAATCAACAATTATCATTAGAACTAATCAACTAATACAACACACACCCCTTGTCAAAAGTGTCAATGATGTTATCTTCAACTGGTTAGAAGCCTCTATGATGACGGATTGCCTTGATTTAATGCCACAACTATCGTCCTTTTCTTTGCTTTGCCTAGATTTAGGCTTTTTATTTGGCGGTGATGAAACCTTTTTAAAAGCTGAATATTAGTCTAAATAAAATATATATAATGATGTAAGTTAATGTTTTATAGTAGGAAAACATACCTCTTCTTCACAAAAAAACCATGTCAATAGGCCATTACACAAAGCTACTCCCGGCTTTACCCAACTTAGTCACACCATTGGGAGATGGTATCGGTAATTCGAGGAGGGCGTAGTCAAGGTAAGGTTTGTCCACGCTAACCCTATAATGATTGGGTTTCATTTTCAGGTTGTGAGTAACTTCACCTGTAGAAGGATATATCGTTCCATCTGCCACAATCACTAAATTTTTATCGTACTCATCTTTCAATGCAAGGCGACATTTAGTTGGTACCTATATTTTACAATAAAAAATATCAATATTATACATTTTAACCATGTGTCTTAAGTTAAGGAAAAACAATTCAGAAGATACCTCTATTACACGAGAAATTTATGTTGCTTTCGTGGTCGTTAGTTGGACTCCTTTAAATTCCTCTACGTTAGCGGTCATCTGTGGCAGCAACTTGGCAAGATAAGCTTTCACCTTCATTGCCACACGTTGTTCCAACATCTCTTCCAGCTTCTCTTCAACCTTTTTTTCTATCCTCGCCTCAAATTCTTGAGTTAAGGTAGCTTTCATCGATTCTAACTCCTTAAATGAGCATCGATCTTGGCTTAACGACTTACCCTTTATGTATTCCTTCCCTAATGCTTGTGTGTGACTAACTCCAATTCCAGACCTTCCTAGTCCTTTTACATGCCCACGGTGATCCTTTTTTCTTCACTTGAACCGTATCCTTCGGCATTCTTTTGCAAGTTCTTCAACTATTCCCAAAGAAAATAAAATACATAAAATTAGAATACATATATAGATATTTATATGAAAATAGCATATGATTGGTTACTCTAAACAACACTTACGATAGCATTGACTATTTGCAAGGTTTTCACATCCTTCGGGTCTATAGCCCACGATCCATCTGCAAGACAATCCACATGATCACCTAACCCGTCCATCATCTCATCTTTCTTGTTTTCCTCGATGTCATCTTTATCACCCGCTTCATTATCATAAAAACCATTCGACTCTCTCTCCTCGGCTTTATTATCATTAATAGAAGATGAATTACTCGTGGGAATTAATTTTTCACCATGCCAGTACCAAATGTTGTAGTCTAGCATAAACCCACGGATAATCAAATGCTCCTCTATTTTCTTAATATCTTCCCACCTCTTCACATTCATAAAATCACGACAAGGGCAGAAAATAGGTCTTGCTTTGGTTAGTCTTTGTTCAACTAGAGTACTTCGTTGGTGTTGCACTGCTATTCTGCAGAACTCTTTGACCCCATTCAAATATTCTGGTGTGATTCGAGAACCATACATCCAACGACGATCCATTTCTAACAATGTAAGATTACAACCCAAGAAACATATTATACTCAACAACTTAACATATCAATACATTTCAAATGCATGTTTCCAAAGAGTCCTTATCACTTCAACCTAACCCGTCCTTGAAAGTGTATTTCCACTAGCAAATGGTTGCCCACTTTTCGATTCAAGGAAATTTCAACAATATTTCCCTATGGTTCTCAAAATACATAATGTAATTTATTTTTGAATTACATATATACCCAAAGAACACATTAAGGAATACTAACACACTATTACCGAAAAACAAGCAACCATTTACATCCTAAGTTAGAATACTATTCTAAGAACAGTCCCAACTCCCAAACGGAGTAAATCTTGAATGGTTTTTTCAAAAAAAAAGTAAATCGTGAACGAATATCCAGGCATATGATGATATAATGCTTAATATAGTTTAAAACATGCAAGATCAATCATGTCAAATTAATGTTTAGCAAATCTAAACAAATATATATGGGTTATTTATCCTAACATAGAATATATAAGTTCATGTTGAAATAAAAACTGCATTTAAAACAAATAAACTTTATACCTCAACAATATAGCCAATTAATTTCTTAATATCGTAGAGATACTCTCCCCACCTATATTTGCAGAGTGCTTCACCACCAATTATTAAAACTCAGTTGCCTATAAATCATTATTTATGGACAAAAAAGTGTTAATTGAAGGAAGCAATAAGTTGTAAACGTGATTTGAGAAAAGCACACTAGTTTTGGTAGTTCTAAACTCAAATTTCCAACTGAAGAAAATCATGCATCAATTTGGAATTTTCAGATTACTTAAACAACAATAATTAAAACAAAAAAAAGGGAGAAAGAAACAGACTAATCAATAATAGACAACTTTTCACTAATTTAGCTCCTATTTTTGTCATTAATTTCAACAATTCAGAGATGATTTCAAGCAAAATCAAAACAACAGTAGAATTAAACTAAATAGAAATGTAAACTACAACAAATTTCCAGCAAAATATAAAGTAATAATTTGTCTAAAAACTTGTTGAATTAAATTAGCAATTCAGCAAAATTAGAGCAGTAGGGAAAAAAATTGATAGAGAAAGGTAATTATATACTGTAGGAGATTATAACATAAATTTATGCTTGAACAGAAACTGCAATTCAATGGAACAATGGAATGCAGTAATTATTAATTAAACAACAAACAAATTCCCAAATTAATTACTCATACCAAATTAACAAAAAACACCCAAAACCTAAATTTGAACAGCAAAAATTCGCAACAAATGTGTAATATTTGAAATAGAGAAATTTTTGAAAGGTATGAAATTGCTTACCGATGGAGAAAGAGAAGGCTGACGAGCTTAGATTGCGCTTCAAATGGCAAGACTGAGAAAGCGGGGAAATGAGAGCAGAGACTGAGAAAGGGGGAAATGAAATTTTAGGGTTTAATTATTAACCATTAGTTGTAACGGTCAGTTCATGTTAGTTACAAATAATTTGGTCAAACGGTTTTGACTTTAATATTTGTAACGGGCATATGCTGTCCGTTACAAATGCTACTTTTCTACGCAACTCAATACTATACTTTTTTTTATAACAAACATTGATTTTGTAACAAACTCCGGAGTAATTGAAAAGATTTCCCTTCAAAATGCTACTTATTATTTTTTAAAAAAATTAAATTCTTTTAATAAATAAATATATGCAACACATAAAAATTTTAAAGGGAGATATTAAAATGGAGCATGACTCGTTGGATGACAGAGCTCGCAAAGTAGTGGTCAGAAAAAGAAGAGTGGCAAATGGGGAAGGTGACAGGGGTTCGAGACAAGAGCTTAATTTGAGCAGTGGGTTAGCAAAGAAGCGAAGTCTAGATGAAGACTCATGTAAGGACTCGGGGTCAGAAGCATCACAACCAAACAAGAAAACAAAATCATCACATTCTCTTTTCACCGGTGACGGGATAAATCAAGTAAGGGGAGTTGGAATGAACCAAACCCCTGAAGAGCAATGAAAATCCTATGTTGGAATTGTCGGGGGGCGGGCAACTCTCGTGCAATTCAAGCACTCCGACATTGGGGTGGTAGTATTTGTCCTGATGTGATTTTCTTGTATGAAACTATGATTAGTAGAATTAATTCAGAAAATTTAAAAACAAAGTTTGGCTATTCTATGTCTGTTGGTGTTGATAGTAAGGGTAAATCGGGGGGTCTTTGTGTGTACTGGAGAGATCATATAGATTTTTCTTTGGTCTCTTTCTCTGATCATCATATGTGCGGTGACATCAAAGAAGAAGGGGGTCGAGTTTGGAGATTTATTGGCGTCTATGGATGGGCTGATAAAGCTTTAAAGAGTAATACTTGGACTTTTTTGCGTGATTTGTACCGGGACTCACCTTATCCCACGGTCTTCGGAGGGGATTTTAATGAAATCCTTAGTTCTCACGAGAAGTCGGGAGGAGCTTTGAGGGAAGAACGAGCCATGGATGCTTTTTAGAGACGTTCTTGATGAGTGTTGTTTGAAGGATTTGGGTCATGATGGCTCTTGGGTAACGTGGGAGCGAGGGATTGAACCAAATGTAATTGTTAGAGAGCGTCTTGATCGATTTGTAGCCTGCTCTCGATGGTGTGCCTGGTTTTCTCACGCACATGTGACTCGCTTGACGAAGTTTAAATCAAACCATGTGGCAATCCTGCTTGATACAGAGGCTAGGGTGCGCAAGAAAAAGAAGGGGAAGAAGAAAAGATTCCGGTTCAAAACTTGCTGGTTACTTGCGGAGGCTGTCGAAGATGTTATCAAGAAATCTTGGAGTGATTCGACTCACTTAAGCATGCCTAATAAGCTGCTGCAGGTTGCGAATGATTTGACAGTGTGGAGCAAGGATTCTTTTGACAATTTGGGTGTGAAGATTGCTAAGCAGAAGATGCTCTTAAGGAGGCTCAAAACAAGGCAGGTTCTCATCCAAATTTTGCTAAGTGTGGAAGACTTAAAGCTATTATTGATGATCTCCATGAAAAGAACGAAGCCTACTAGTTTCTTCGATCTAGAGTTTCCGAAATCAAAGATGGTGACTGCAACACCAAGTATTTCCATCACAAGGAGGGGCAGAGAAAAAGCAAAAATTATGTAAAGGGTCTTAATAATGCTCAAGGGGAGTGGTGCATTGGAAAGAAGGACATTGAGAGGGTTATTCTCGATTTTTATGGGTCTTTTTGCTCGAGGGGAGATTGATGAGCCCTTGATTGATGAAGTTCTTGATAGTGTTCCGACTATGATAACGGAAGGTATGAATTTGTCCCTCTGTCGTGCTTTCTCAAAAAATGAAATCTTCTCTGCCCTTTCCCAGATGAGTCCTTGTAAGGCCCCGGGGCCCGACGGTCTTCATGCTATTTTTTACCAGAAATATTGACATATTGTGGGTGATGATGTGACTGTTTTTGTGAACAATATTATTTCTGGTAGAATTCCCCTCTGTGATATTAATCGTACCAATGTTGCTCTTATTCCGAAAGTCAAAGATCCTACTAATGTGTCCCAATTTCGGCCAATTTCTTTGTGTAATGTGTTGTACAAATTAGCTTCAAAATCTGTGGCTAATAGATTGAAACCTCTTCTACAAGGCATTGTTACGGAGAATCAAAGTGCATTTGTTCCTAAACGTATTATTACTAATAATGCCCTTATTGCTCTTGAGCTATTTCATACTATGAAAAAGAGGTCGAAAGGTCACCGTGGGACTATTGCTATGAAATTAGATATGAGCAAAGCTTATGACAGAGTTGAGTGGGAGTTTTTGAGGAGATTGTTGACTAAGTTGGGGTTTGCAGGAGCCTGGGTTGACACGATTATGACATTTATCTCCACAGTTCAATACTCCTTTATTATCAACAGGGTCCCTTTTGATTCTTTAACCCCGTCTAGAGGCTTTCGACAAGGTGATCCCATTTCACCTTACCTCTTTATTCTAGTTGCTGATGTGCTTTCTAGAATGTTACAGAAAGCAGCAGAGAAGAAGTTGATCCATGGAGCTCGGGCTAGCAGGAGTGGCCCAGAGATCTCTCATTTGTTTTTTTGCAGATGACAGTCTTTTATTTACTAGAGTTACTCGACAGGAATGTTCAGTCATTGTTGATATTCTCAACAAATATGAAGCAACTTCCGGACAAAAAATCAATTTGGAAAAGTGGGAAGTATCTTTTAGTAAAGGGGTTCCATTATCGTCGAGGATCACTTTTAGCTCCATTCTTGGTATGGAAATGGTTAATAGCCATGTAAAATACCTTGGTTTTCCAACTGTTGTAGGGAGGTCAAAGAAAGCGGTTTTTGCTTCAGTAAAGGATCGAATTTGGAAGAAGGTGCAAGGTTGGAAGGAGAAACTACTATCGAGAGCCGGAAAGGAAGTTCTTTTGAAGTCAGTTATTCAAGCAATCCCAACCTATCTTATGGTTGTGTATAAATTCCCAATTAACTTGATTCAAGAGATTCATGGTATGATGGCACGATTTTGGTGGGGTTCGAATGACAAGGGAGGAAAATTCACTGGAAAAGTTGGGATTCTCTTTGTCAACCAAAATTTCTTGGGGGGATGGGGTTTAGAGATTTGGGAGTTTTTAATGATGCTCTTCTCGGGAAACAAATTTGGCGCCTTGCTACTAGTGAGAACTCTCTTGTTAGCTGTGTGCTTAAAGCTAAATACTACCCCCGAACTTCTGTTTTTGAGGCTGCACTTGGTCCGATTTCGAGCTATTCATGGAAGAGTTTATGGAGTCTAAAGCCCTTGTGAAGGAAGGTATGCTTTGGAGAGTTGGGAATGGCCGCACTATCAAGGTATGGGATGATCCTTGGCTCATTTCTGATGAGAGTCGCTCTGTTACCACGGATAGAAGGGAAGACGAATGCACCATGGTGAATGAACTGATGGACGAGGTGAGTTGCTGCTGGAATATTGAAAAAATTGACAGCATTTTTAATGACTGTGATAAGAAAGCAATTTTAGCCATCCCAATTAGTGAACGAAGGCCTGCTGACACTCTCACTTGGGCGTGATCGAGGAATGGGCTCTATGATGTGAGGTCTGCCTATCTCCTAGGCAGATCACTCCCGTTAGATAATTTCGAGCAATTTTGGGTTGAAGTCTAGAAGGTTGGGGCAACCCCGAAAATTCGTCATTTCTTGTGTAGGTGCTGCTCGAAGTCCCTGCCTACCAGAAGCATTCTGCATCACAGACATCTGATTGAAGACGCAACTTGCCCTTGCTGCAGGTCTGAGGTTGAATCTGCTATACATGTTGTAATCATGTGTCCCTGTGCTCACTAACTTTGGGTTAGAAGTGACTGCGAGGAGGCCCTCAATTTTACACTAATTGATTCTTTTGGAGAAGTGTTGCTTTATTGGGCAAAAAAATCTCTCAAAAGAAATATACCAGAGAGCTATTTTCCTTACTTGGTTCATTTGGTTTTGTAGGAACAAATGGGTCTTTGAAAATCAGTGGGATTTGGCTGATGTTACCCTCCTTCGACATAGCAAACTGGTTGCTGATTTTGGTGTTTACGCTGAGAAGATTTATGGGGGTACTCAACCTTCTCCCGAGCTGCTGGAAGAATGGCATGGTTGCCTCCCCCTACTGGTGCTGTTAAAATCAATGTTGATGCTGCTATATCTGATGATGACTGGGTGGGATTGGGAGCTATTACTCGAGACAGCAGGGGCTCGGTTCTGTTCTCAGCAGTGCGCATAATTAAGGCACGTTGGGAGCCGTTGGTTGCAGAAAGCATGGCTGCTCTGTTTGGGATTAAAAAGGCGAGGGATCAAGGGCTTAGGGATGTGGTTATTGAGTCAGACTTCCTGCAAATGATTTCAAAGCTGAAAAAGAATTCTTTCTCCCTTGCGGCTGTTGATGGTATTCTAGAAGACATCGTGTCTGTTAGTTTGTGCTTTTCTTCCATCTTTTGGTCACATGTTAAGTGTGATGGGAACTTTGTCGCCCACCACTTAGTTAGGTTAGTGTCGTATGGTTGTGAACAATTGTGGGAATATCTCGTGCCTGATGAGATTTCTTTGTGTGTACTGTTGACTCTATTTCGATGAATTAAATGTACTAACCGTTTTCTTCAAAAAAAAAAAAGATTCATACTTCAAAAAAAAAGGGGGGTTACATAAGTCATTTAATTTCAATTGACAATTATTATTAATAATAAATTTTATGATTATGAATTCGTGCATTGCACGGGGCCAAAATTAGTATGTCCATTATAAATAGGTCGTTATAAATAGACTTTTTTTCCCCGGTTGTGATACCTAATACACCCTTACTAATTAGCACTTGTTTCCTTAGCATATGCTTATTACATTCACATAAGCACGCAATTTGTTTTTTTTTCATTTGTATCTCTTCCTTTAGTTTCATTTGTATCTCTTCCAATAAATTATTAAATAA